CAGTTGAATTGTTAAAAAATTATTATCCAATTATTCCAATTATTTAAACATTAAATCCTTTAATGAGCACTATCTTCTTGGGTTATTGAATAATTTTTTCACGAATATTTATCTCTCTTCTCCGAAAATGAATATATCTGTTTTTTTTTGATGTAATGAAGGATGAGGGTAATTTAGACTTTAAGAGCACTTTAGTGTCTAGTATTAAGTATATAAAAGTACATATATATATATATATATATATATATATATATATATATAATGTCAACTATGTTTATATATCTAATACCAAAATTATTATTTTCTTTCTTTCTTTCTTTAAAAAAGAACACAATAAAAAAACAGTATATAGCAAAAAAATAATAATAGACCATTCGGTGTTCAAGTGAATAAAACCACCTGCAAATTTACGACCTTTTATGAACTAATTAACCAATAACAAAATCAAATTTATTATAGTTGAGTAGGCTCAATTTATTTAAAATTCAAACTGGAAATAGCATAATTATTATTAATCCATATTTTCAGAGAATTATTAATCATTTTGCATACAGGACTTTTTCTTTGTCTTTCTCACTCTCTACCTGAGTCAGTACATTTTATAACCTAAGACTAATGAGGCGAATCCTATAAAAGTAAAAACTTTCTCTAACATCTACATCTGCCTGTCTCTTATTGTTTGATGTGTCATACGATAGCATTTGCCTTCTTTTGAATGTCAAAAGTAGCAAAGATAAAGAAAAGAGGGGGAAGATATAAATATAAAGGGAACAAGGTGAAGAAGCGTAAACATATATATATATATATATATATATATAGTAATATGTTGTATGAAGTATATGCATCAGCTTAATATTTTATTTAAACACCTGAAAGAAAATTAGTTCGATTTTTTTTACAAGGTTTTGTAATCAATGAAAAGTGTGTAAACTCATTTAAGAAAAAGTAAAAAGCCGATTATTTTACTCATTTATTTACTATTATTAGTTTTTTTTGGGGGGGGGAGGGGGGAGGCAGGCTAAATCCTTAAGTAAATAATAATTCCGTGCAATTACGTAATTGTATAACAAAAATACTCCATTATATAATACAATAGATATTGATAAAATATAAAAAAATTAATGGTTTATTATACTCTATACTGTTTATAAAAAGTTTATTAAGGACACATTAAGCAATCTTTCGAATGGATATTCTACTAAAGATCTTAATTAACCTAAAAATAAGAACTAATTATTATTGGATAAATAGATTTCTTAGTCTCTAACTGTCTATCTCTCTCTTCCCTCACTTACAATATATATCTATTCTGTATTTAAACGATTTTAAGTTTCTTTTGTTGAAAATACAGAAAAATCCTTAAAAAAATAATTACTTAAAGGCTCCCTTAGGAAATTTTCTGTTTCTGATATTCTCTATCTCATCAGTCACGTTGGTTATTGATCTGGACTATCTAGAGAGATAAAATAACCGGTACTTGCTTTCGTTTAAAGTATAATTTACATAATCATTAGCATAATTATCCTATATCAAAATATAGAATACGGGGAAAGAAGGATAGGGAGAAAGAGAGGAAAAGAGGAAGAATGATAGAAAGATAGATAAAAGAGAAATAAAATTGCTATTCCAGTTCGATAGCCTGTTCCTCATATAAAAAGAATATCGTTTTAGTGTCGTGTTGTTAAAATTGTATTTTCATTCTTTTCTATATAACTAAATATGGTTTCTTTCAAGTATTATTTTTAATGTATATTGTTTATTTGTTGATAAACAGATGAATGCTTTAAATTCATTGATTTTAGAGCATATATATTTTCATAATGTATTTTTCATAACGTTTAAATGATATGTACAGAAAGTATTGATATTACCGTTTAACAATTTTTTTATATACATAAAATACATTGAGAAACTATAAATATAAAAATATGAAAACAAGCTTTCTTTTCTTTACAAAATTAATCTTTATTTAAAATTGTAAAGATTTCAATACTGGAGAACAAAGCTCATTTAGAAGAAAAGAAAGAGAGGAAGAGAGAGACTACAAGTTTATATCTATGAGAGTAGGTGGAGTGCGAGGGCTATGGGCGGTAAACTTTTAACCCAGGCAAATGTTTTTAATTTATTTTTTTTACACGCCTTAAAAACGTAATACTATTTCCATTAGGCATATAGAAAATTTGAAATGAAAAAACTAGAAGGGCGGTTGTCAGACAGATATTACAGAGAGGGGGAGAGAGAAAGCCTAAGGGAGGAAAATGGCAATAATGATCATCCTTTTAAACACAGTATTCGCCATCTATCGGCTTAAACATACACTATAAACTACAAATCAGTTTCATTAAAGAATAAAACGGACCAATTATGATATAAACTGCATTATTAAAACTTATGAACAAGTCTACAAACTGTACTAATATATTAAGTATTTAAAATAGTTTACTCAATGCTTCAAATAGCTTTATTTACCGCGTGACTAAGTGTATTTTTAGACGTTTGAAGGAGTAAATATCTCTTACTTTAGGCGTTTAAAGAAAAGACGATGAAAGAAGAGACGACAGAAAAAAAACAGAAAATGTAATGAGAATTTATGATTTAGCTATTTAAGAAAGGAAAAGGAAAAGTATTTCTAATCAAAATTATTTAGCAATGTGTTTTTGATTTTATTAGTCATCTCTATTTCTTGAATAATAAAAGAAGAGGATAAAGAATAGAATTCTAAAAGACACAAATATAAGACATAATTAAATAATGACTAGAATCACTTTTACAAGTGAATTTATAATAATTATTAAGTTATTGTGTTGCAAGTATGCTCATTTGCTCTATAGTTTTTTTAGGCTAAATTAAAAAGGGCTAACAGTTAATTATAGAAAGGAATAAGGGTCGAATAATAAAAATAGCTGTGCTGCGTTTTTTACAAAAAATCTACAGAGAAGAGGAAGAAAGGGTAAAGAAGAAACTTGTCTTTCATTAAATTATTCTTTCTTTTTTATTTTTTCTTATCCTTCATCCTCCATATTTTCCCTTTTATCCATCTTCTTCCTTTTATCCTTTCAATCTTTTTTTGGTTACGTAGACAGGACGTGTTAATTTTGTTGTTGAAAACATATTTATATAACAATATTAATAATAATAGAAATATTTACAGAATATAGTATATATAATATATATTAACTTAATATATTCAGTTCCCTACGTGTGATATTTTTTCCTATACAATAGATACAATTTCACATGAACATTATATTATAAACGCAGATATAGAGTATATATTAACATATAACATTTATCTATATCGTACATTGTAGAATACTTTAGTCTCGGATTGGACATGGTTCAACCGAAAAGATAAGAGCATGAACATTTTTTTTTATATTGAACTTGTATAGAGATAGAGAAACAGCGAACAAGTAAGCAATAAATAAGGGTGCAAAAGATATTGAGAGAGAGAGAGAGTAACAAACATATTTAAGAAATTAGAAAGTAGAGAATACTTATGTGAACATATATATTCATATATACTGTATATACGCTGTATATAGTATACTCATAGATATTATAATTTATTTTATTAACTTTTTTAACCTATATACTGTAAATATTTTGTCTAAAAGTTATAACATTGGCATTATAAAGATAAGGTTATATGTATTTCTCTCTTCCTCTCCCTTCCACTCTTCCTTTCTCTTTGTCTCTTGCCAGTTTATGATTTTTTTTGCTGATTTCAGTAATAATTTTGGAATGTATAGAACAAAGACGAAAAAATATTAGAATGAAAAGATTATCAATAAAATTTAAACCAATAATTGAAGAAGATGAAGATGAAAAGAAAAGAGAAACTCGAGAAAGTTTTAATAGAAATGACGGATCAGTAAAACTATTAAAATTCAAATTTAAACAGTCGAGAAGGGCTTCGGATAGTAAAATTTATCCACTTCAGGTATATTATATATATATCTATACATTTTAATAAATTCCTTAAATATTTCTTATTCTTTTTCTTCCTCCTCTTCTTATTTTCAAAAAGCATAAACAGTATAATTTTACAACTTTCCTTTTGAGAATTTTTTATCTTTTTTAAATTAAATAATGGTTTATATTCATCTTAAATCCATTAAAAAGTATTTTTACTGTGATATATTTCGTAATTCGAGTATTTTACAGGCATATGGTAAAATGCATACTTTTACAATACCTTATTTCATCCTCAGGTGTCGGAGCCTTCTTATGCGCTTATTCATCATAGTTGCAAGTAGATTTAACAGGGAAACGACGCGTCTAATTATTCACCCGTTATTTATTATTTATCTTCTCTGCTTGCCTTTCCCTCTCTCTCCACCTCTCTTTCTCTCTCTCTTTCCCCGATAAGAAAATTTAAAAATAGATTTTCGATAAATAAAATGTTTGAATAGGCTGAATGAAAAAAAAATAAAAGGAAAAACACCGTCTTCTAACCCCTATTCTTTAACTGTATAGTATAAATTAACATCATTAATATGGTACTATAGTAGAGATTATGTGAAAACTATGCCTATCCAAAAAAGAGACTTATATAAAATATTTAAATAGATTACAATAAAATAAAAAAAATGTCTGTAAAAAAGTGAAATGCATGAAATTTATTCAAGAATTAATTGTTTATTTCTAGTAGTTTATTGATTAACTTAAAAAGGAAAAATGACAAAAAGAAAGTCATTTTTTCTCTTTTTTATTCCTTTAATTACTCTTACATTCTTCTTTCAACTTTCAAACATTCTCTCTTCTTTTTCTCTTCTCTTCTAATAATTGAAAATAATGTTTTCCTTGTATAAACTCTTCGTATCGGAACATATTTTTGTCAAAGGACTTAATAAAAGATATAGTCCTATATTCTAAATAGAAGATGATGAAATATAACAACATTATAATAAAGAACCCCTAGGGCCAACTTAAGAGGCGCACCTATAAGGGTTACTTCTTTTTTTTGTGTATAAAAAGTGTTGTATATTTACTATTCCATAAAGCGAATCGGCCTGTGTAGCGCAGGTAAATAGCTAGAAGAGAGATTTTATATCGTTCACTCTATGACCGCTCAAAGACCCTTCGATAGTGCATCGATAACATTTAACTCATGTTTTCTTAATTAGCAGATGAATAGAAAGGACAACGAATATAGACAAGTTTTTGAGGGTAAAGCATTGGTAAATCAATTAATTTACTTGGGACAGAGTAGATTTTCGGAGAGAAAATTTGCAATTAAATTTGCTCAGAAACTCTTAAAGGATGGACACTTGGAGTCTGTAGTTGGATCGACTCTTTTCGAAGATTCTTTACATTTATATAGATTCAAAGCGGACGTTGTTCGAGAAGTACGAAAGGTTAAAACTAACTACTCGAATCGAATACCAAAGAAGAAACTGCTTCAAATTATGGAAATATATGATCAAACGAAATCTTTACCGAATACCCCAGCTGGAGAAGAAAAATTAGAGGTTCAATTTAAAGATTAGCCGGCTTTCAATAAGTTTATAAAGGAAAAGGATTATTTCTCTTAAATCCATGCAAAATTTCTCTATTTTTTACTTGAGCAAATATTCTTCTTTCCTTTTTTCCTTCTGTTTATCTCTCTCTCTCTCTCTCTCTCTCTGTCTCTCTCTTTCACTCTATCAGAGCGATCTTTTATTATTTTATCAAGTACGTAATAATATTAACTTTAATAGAACGTATCTAAAAAGTTCACTTTTAATTGCCTTATTTTAAGCTTCTAATTTGAAAAAGTAACAAATAAAATAAAAAAAGAAATCTATTATGCAATAAAAAAAAAAGAAAGCCGTCAAATCTTTTAGTCAAAATTGAGCTATTCTCAAGAAGATATTTTCAATACTTGCAAATACGACGGTGTTGAAATGCCATCTATTGATATTGAAGATTTCCGTACTACTGATTTACAGAAATTAGTTAACGATAACAATGGATATTCGGATAATGAAAAGTTTTTATTGGATAAATTGATAAGAATTAATAAAGATCATCATACAATACTACAGAATTATGAAAAACAAATTGAGGATTTAACTGAACGGATTAATCAATTACAAAAAGAATTAGGAATAAATAATGATAATAATAATAATATTGATAATAATGACAATAATAAGACTGCTTCCGAGCAAAAGCCTATTCCCAAAGCACCGCCACCTCCTCCTCCCGCCCCACCTCTTATAAAGGAATCGATTAAGCCAACTAAACAACCCGTTAAGCCAAATTTGAAGATGAGATCGCTCTATTGGGAAAGGATTATCATTGATAGGAGAAACTATTTAAATAGAACATTTTGGCACGAAGCAGTTGAACCTAATTTTCCGATTTCTGATTTTGAACAATTGTTCGGTTCTAAAAATGAACCAAAAAAATTAATTCAAAAGAAAACAGTAAAGAGTAGACAACCAAGAATTAAGATTTTAAGTAACGATAAATCAAGAGAAATTGCAATTAAGATGAAGACTTTGCACGCAAATTCGCAAGATATTCAAGAAGCAATTTATAATATGGATTTTACTAAAATTGATATGGAATGGTAAAATACTAAGAAAATATTCTAACTATTTCTTCTTTATTTAAATAAATAAATAAATAAACAATAGTGACATTCTATTCCATACACACAGCATAAACGACCTATTTCGTCTTTACTTGAAAGCATGCGAAGAAGGTGACCTAGCGAGGATTTCAGAACATCTCGAACAAAATCCAGAAACTCCTTTAGACGAACCTGAAATATTTCTATTAGAGCTATCCAAGTTAAATGACTGTCCCGATAGGCTTAATTGTATCATGCTTAAGAAGGAGGTTGGTGAGAAAATCTTCGATATTGGTAAGTAACTTTTTTTTATTTTTTCACATACGTATTCCTGTCTATTCATTCCTTATAATTAATTGAAAAGATAGGGGATTGAAGAATAGGTTAAAGCCGGCGACCTATTTACGGAAAATGACCCTTCAATTCAAAGGATTCTATAATTATATTATGATTTATTTTAGTATAGAACCAAAATTTTAACGTTTATTTTATTAGTATAAAATAACCAATACAACCAAAAATCTTCGGAAAGAAAAAGGAAAACAACAACAAAAATATCATCAGAATATTCTTTCCCTAAAATTGACCTTGACTTTTCATAACTCAATTACATTGTAAACTTTTCCCTTAAAATACTCTTCATGTAGGGAATTTACATGATTATTATCGGAAAATTTGTAATAAGAAAACAAAATTTATCAATAAACAGATCAACAACTCGACAGCCTGGAAACTGCTATAAATGAATTGAAAAGAAAGTATGCTAAAGATTTTCTTTTTTTAACAAGTTTGCGTGATAAATGGGTTTCTTTTGTATACCATCCACTATCACGTGACTGATGTTGTTTACCTAAACCATAGCGTGCGGAGGCTTTATAGTAGAATTATTGTTTAAACTTGACGTTTAGAGTGAGAAACATAACAGCAAGAGTGGGAAAAAATTAGCAATTGTAGTTTTTATTAAGGGAAAAAGTTCAATTATTTGCAAAAAAAAAATAGAAGCAAATTGACAGCAATTTTAAAAAAATAGCGGAGAATTTAATAGAGAGAATGAATTTTTGTCAATTCACTATTAGTAATTATTATTGTATTGAACGCGGTTATTTTTTTTTGTATAGATGTTCTTTTTATATATCAACTAATATAAAAAAAACAGCTATTAAATAACAACCAATTTTTTTCTAGCTTGAATTTGACAAATTCATTCAAACAGAAAATATTTTTTAGGACAAAAGATTAGATTACTGTTTATATTTCTCTCTGTCTCTCTGTCTCTCTCTCTCTCTCTCTCATTCACCAACTCTATCTGTCTATCTGTATATCTCTTTTCTCTTTTATTCCCTATAGATATATGCTATATCTATATAAATTATCACAAATAATTAAATATCTATATTAGTTTCTCTATATAATCAGAAAAAGAAAACATATTAAATTCAATGCTATATTTTAACGGTAGATGGAGCCTTTACGCATAAAAAAAATCACATTTATGATCCACGCTAATGGTGTTTTCCTGGATCGATGATATAATAATGTCTTTGCCTACAGCGATTGTCTTGGCGAAATTCTACAATATACGCTAGCATTAGGAAATTATATGAATGGAACTACTCAGAGGGGTCAAGCCGATGGCTTTGATCTTCATATTTTAACCAAATTAACCGATGTGAAATCTTTTGATAAACAAACTAATCTTCTTCAATTCATATGCCATTTGATATGTAAAAACGAAGAGGGAACGGGAACCAGCCGGGCCATTTATAGACTACCAAAGCATGAAACAATGCAACAAGCATCAAAGCTTTCTCCTTCAGCAATAAAAACTGAACTGGATTGTCTTAACTGTAAAATTCGACAAAACATAATAAAAGTAAGGGAAATTGTTGAAAATTCAAATAGAACGGAACCTTTTCAAACAGTAATGGAAATATTTTTTGATAATGCTCAAAATATGATTGAACACCAAATGGAAAGGGTTGGTCAAGTTTCTGAAGCCTATCAACAATATCTTATCTATCTTGGGGCGGAGAATAGCGAAAGATACAGTACGTTCTAACAATATTTAGAAACAAATAGATATTCTAATGTATACAGTATATTGTATATCTTGTATATATCTATGTATTAATTTTAATTAAAAACAGCAAATGTATAGTAAATATAACTATTTTTAGAATCCACAGAGTCTTTTTTCAATATATGGGAGAGATTTTTTATATCCTTCCATTCTTGTTGGCAAAAAGAGCAAAAACTCGCTGCTAGATTGAAATTTGAGGCAATGGAGGAGAAGAGGAGGCAAAGAGTCAAACAACATCGCAGACAATCGATAACTACTGATTCAAATATTGGTTTAAAGAGTCGAATGCAAGAGAGAAGAAGAAATCAAAAGGAAAAACAGTTATCTTATTTTACGAGGAGTCAATCGGTTTGTAACTTATTGGGGGATGTAGGACCAAACATTTTTCCGAGTTCTTCCACTGAATCTACATATAACGAAGAAGAGAACGAAGTAAAACTAGAGAATATAACTAGATCTCGTAGAAGATTTTCCGTAGATGTTTCTAATGGAACTGAGATTAGACTAAAGAATTCTGCCATTGATATTCCAAAAGAAGATGAAACAATTACCGAACAAAGAAAACCTCTTTACAATAATCTTTTGACAAGTCAAAAGTGTTCAGATGATAGTAATAATAATAATCATTGCAAAAATAATCCCATTAATAGCCATTGTTCTAATAAATCAATGGAAATGAAAGAGGTCAAAATGGAATCTCGATCTAGATTTAGGAGAAGATTTCAAGATGATTTCAACAGCTCTGATCATTTTATTCAAAAGAGAAATTTTAGACAGCAATTGTTAGAAAAGAAAAAAGATAAAGAATCATCCTGAAGGCATTCAGAAAAGATGGAAACAAGTCAAAAAGCTAGGAGGTAAGATAAACAGGAAGAGAGGAAAATTAGAAAAAAGAAAGAGAGATAGAGATCCCGAGAGAAATATAGAGTGAACGAAAGAAATAAGCCTTACAATTTAGTGTAATAGTAATACTTTCATTCCTAAATTATTTATTGTTATTTGAATACAAACTACAATTGTATAAGGACAGCTAATTTTTCAATTAAAACAATAAACAACACTCTCTCTCTACCTTGAGAAAATACAACAAACAATACTATTAATCATTAATTTTATAAATTAGCTATCATCAAATGATAAGGATAATGATAATAGCATAATTTATAGACTAAAAATTACTCTTATTAGTTGAGAATATTGGGGTCAATTTATTATTATTCTAATTAGTACAATACATAAACATATAATATATACCTATATAAGACAGTATATATTGGTATGTACTAGAAGTTTCTTTCCGTCCTGCTCTTCCTAATCTACTTAAGGCTTATAAACCCCTTAAGAAATAAGATACTTGAAAAATTATAGATATTTATCTTCCCTCTAACCATATTTCTTGTGTTTTAGCATGTAAAAGCTAAAGGGGCATAGTTTTTTTTATTCTAGATTACAGATTATTTATTCGTTATTGTAGGTTGTCCCTGTTTCGATATTAAATAAAAAAGAATATATAGCATTAGTGTATAAATGAAAAAACAAATGATAATAAGCGAAATAGTATATATAAACAAATTATTAGGAATATATACAATATATATTAGTATATATATATATATATATATATAAATTGTTAATCTATAGGTAATCGATAAAAATAAATTATATGCTTGTTTTTAACTGTCTCATAATTCAGCACGAATAATGTTCAGATAATTATGCCAACTACGAAAATTACTATCATTATGAAGATACGCGTACGTGCGAACTCATATTTTTGCTTATTTGTTATCATTTGAATATAAGATTTTCTTTATTCGTATAAACATACATACTAATACACTTTATATAGATATTCATATATATATATATATATATTTTTTGTATCTATATAGACTTTTCATAAAAGTGTATAAATTATATAGTTATACAATGATGTGGGTTGGAAGGAAAAGGAAACATATACGACGGAGATAAGAGAAAAAGGAAAAAGGTATAGAGATGATGAGAAGAGAAAGTTATCTTCCAAGAAATCTAATATTATCAAAAAAGAATGATGTAAAAGTATTCTTTTAGCATTTTATTAATTAATTCATTTATCTAATTTATGCTAAAAGGATATTTCGTATGCCAAATAACGCCTTTGAATTAAGCGTATATTGTAATTTTCTAATTACATCGAAAGATGGCGCCGTCGAGTTTAAGATATATTTCAATCCAACTTCAATCGTCTGGAAAAAAACTGGCCTACACAGTAATACTGTTGGCCGTGTATCGGCCATTTTTAAATCGTTTTTATCTCACGACACCATATCGACTGATAGCAAGATGCGATAAGGAAAGAAGCCAGAAAAAAAGGAGTATAATTTAGTAAACAGAGAGGAATACTGGTAAGTAGATCGATTATTGTTCTTTTGCTTTTTCCTACGGAAACAAAATATATTGAAAACCTTCTTTTATGATAAATTTTTCTCTCTGTATTTTTTGTTCTTTCCTTTTTTTCTTTCCTGTAAAAGAAAGAAACAATAGGGACGTCATTTATTGAAAAAAAATAATGAAATTTCTAAGTAATTTATTATGTCCTTATGAAATATTTTAGATATTCAATGTTTACTTAAAATTCGTATTCCTATTTTAAAGTATGTTATATACGAGATATATAATATATCAGCTATATATTCAAATATGTACTTCTAAGTGTAGCTTGTACAATAGAATTTCTTATACAGAATATACTGTATGCTTATGATTTGTTTGTTTATTTAAATAAATACAAACAATAGTTGTCAACAAATAACTGCCGTTATTTGGTACATTAGGGTTAACTTTTTATGTACGATTTTTACGCTTTTGATTATGGTATACTGTATATATATAGTTTATATATGAGTTCTATACTTATATCTATACAGTATATACTAATATATATTACATTTTATCACATATCATTTCATATTTATGTTATGTCATATTGTATTTAAATAAATATGCTTACTATTCTATAAACCCATTATACAAGAATCTACGAGAGATTTATGAAGCGTTTCTAGTCATAAGGAATGTCTTAGATAATGATAAAAGTGTAAAATATGGAAAAGTAGATCACTTTTAATCATTTTCTACACCTTTTTCATATGTAACGTCATATATAGTTTAGAGATTTCACAGTTGCCTAATCTAGATCATATTTAGTAGGATACTGTCTACAAATGGGTACTGCTAAAATTTATTATTACAATCATGCATGCATAACAACTATGGAGCATAGTATAAAAAAGATTATAAATGAAAACCAGGTGTTCACACTTCCGACTTAGAGAGCACCAAAAATGACATCCTGCATTAAACCGTCCGGATTTTCCAAGCTTGGAAATATGATAAATCAGGCAGTACGTTCACCAAAATTTCGAAGGAGAACAAATAGTGAGAAGGACGACCATCAGGAAAGCGGTGAGCAAGACTCGATTCAATGGCATTTCTCGCAGGTGAAAGGAAGCGGAGACGTTGACGTTACTGAAGGTAAAATAACAAATTATTATACTTATTACTTTCTCTAGTTAAGTAAGCTTTACGATACGTATATAAATAATTTAAAATAAGAGCAATTACTATAAAGTACCAGCGCAAACTTTTACTATGAATCTCTTTCAGCTGTATGTTTTTTATTTTTATGTTAAAAACGGTCTTTCATTGAATTATTATTCACAAAGTCTTTCAATTTAATATTGGATAGTAAAGATGAGAAGATCAGATAGACTCTATAAATATATGCGCTGTTAGCTGTCAAAAGAGAGGAGTCAAGCTTTTCTTTCTACATAGTGCTATCTGTCTCGTCTCTCTGTTTTTTTCCCTCTTTTTCTGTCTCTCACTTACAAAATCTCTCTGTCATTCTCACCGTGTCTCTCTCTCTCTCTCTCTTAGTCTATCTTCTCGTTTTTTTTTATTCTCTCTCAATAATTTTAATATTTCTTATTATTTAAAATATAAATCAGTCAATCAGAAATAAATTACAAGTTAAACAGTGTTGTTTCTTATCAGAGATCTAAGATACCACAAAGGTAGATAGTAAAAATTAAAAATAAACTATCTTATGATTTGCTCTAGATATATTCCTAATAATCACTTACAAATGGTCAATAATAAACGTTTATATTAAACCTACAAGTAGAATGTCAAGAGGCGCAATGTACGCCCTACTTAAGCGTAGACATACATAAAAATAGCTAATATTTACAGTATTGCGTCATCGTACGATTTTTAGATTATTAAATTTGTACTTATTATTCTCTTTTCTATTTTTCATACATTAAACAGCCTTTTTTCAATCAAATATTAATTTAAACAACTATATAGTAGATAAACTAATATATATTTATAGATATTTATATATACATTCAATAATCAATTATCAATTATTAGTATCTGCTATTAAAAATTCTAAAGGCTTGATTTTTATTTCTTAGAGGATATTATATCTTCTGTACGCTTCGACAAGACTGGCGAATTTCTCGCTACTGGTGATAAAGGAGGCCGTGTTGTTGTATTTAAAAGAATACCGAACGCTCAGAATCCCTGCTACGATCTCTACTCAACCTTTCTTAGTCATGAAAGGGAATTCGATTATTTAAAAAGCGTTGAAATTGACGAGAAAATCAACTGTATTAAGTGGTTACCCCATGTTAACAGCAGTAGATTTTTACTCTCTGCAAATGATAAAACAATAAAATTATGGAAATTATCTGAAAAAGATAAAAAATATTGCGAAAGCGACAAGAAGATATCTACAGATTTAAAGTTGCCTAAATCGTCTAAGGTGCCACGTTACGTTGAGGCGTCATCAAAAAGATTATACGAAAATGGACATTCTTTCAACATTAATTCCATGGCAGTTAATAACGATCAGCAAACATTCTTATCGTCCGATGATTTGAGGATAAATTTATGGAATTTAGAGGTGACATGCGAGACGTTTAGTATCCTTTTTTCTTGTATAAAAAACAGAAAAATTCCAACTCATCAAACCATTTCTCATCTTTTTTATAACTCTTTTCTTTTTCTCTTCCTACCTCTCTTTTTCTCTTTGTGCTCTCTTTTATTTTTAATCCCCCCTTTCAGCCTATTAGAACAAATTGAAATCGTGAAAAAAACCATTGAGTGTACGAAACGTCGATTAGAGAGAAAAAAGGAAAACTAAGTGGGGAAAGAAAGAAAGAGGGAGGGAGTTGAGAGTGAGAATAGAGGGAAAACAAAGAGGAAGAGAAAGAGATTATCATTATAAATCATATCCGTGATTATATGGTACACGTGCTAGTTCATGCCTAAAAAAACATGGTCGTACGATTCGGTCATAATAGCAAAACTTTGTCATTGTCATCGTTGTAACAGCACGTAATAGTTATACTTTTTTATTACTAAACATGCTATCTAAGAATATTCACAAAGGTTTAGTTAAAAGGCCTATCTTGAAATATTAAACAACAGAGAGAATAATCTAAAAACCATTTAACAATCCACTCATCTGAGATCGGAAAACTTGATAATAGGAATCTAATAAGACCGTAAACAAATTGGTTGTCCACCAATTGATGGTGAAAGAAACTGGGACTTATCTGTTAAGAGAATAGGACAAAAAAAGGCGTCCATTATTAATAAAGCTATTCAGAAACAATTTTCATCTTTTTTTTCAGGTTTTTATCATTTTATTCATCTTTTATTTATTTGCATGTAAAAATTTAAGAGAACCAAAAAGCAAAAACTCTAATAATTTTTCTCATATTAAGATTTAATTATAAATAAGGAAAATTTCGTTGTATTCTATTTTTAGACTTTTAACATACTTCTTTTAGATTATAAGAAGAAACGTAATAGTTAAACAATTATAAGTAAACAATATATATAAAATTTATATTTATTATATTAAAAAATATGAATAATTGATAATTTTTCCTTCCTAACGCCATCTATTGATTGTGTGTGAAGGATGAGAGCCTAAGAACCTTCAAAGACAACATGATTCTTATTATTTTCCAACGTATCAATAGTTTTTAAGTTACAAAAAAACAATGTAAAAAAATCTATAATTTCAACTTAATTTTGTCCAGGGTCTCACTAGACGTCAATAAATAGGCCAAAAACAAATTTGTCCATTGTTTGCTTATATATATATACTGTATATTATAAAGGAAAGAGAGAAGGGCAAATGGGTTATATATAGTATTTTATATATAAATATTTTATATGCAACAAACTTAATGTACAATTGTAATATTTCACTTAGCCTCATACATTGTTTATTTTTACTATTTACTTTTTTATTTTAGTTACGTTTGATACAAAATATGATAAAAACTAGGCTTAAGGATAACAAAGGCATCCTATGCATCTGTTTTTCTTTTAGAAAATAATAGATCATAAAGAGATAAGGATAAAATATTTCAACTATTACTGCTTCTATAGTTTTCGCCTTGTTTTTTTTATGCTTCTAAAAGTGTGAAGAGATTTTCACCTTTTCCTCTTTTGCCCTTAGTTTTTCTTCCAAGTTGAAAGTTTTGGAAGTAATAGAATAAGATTTCAATTTTTTTTCTTCTTTTCTTAAGGGTTACACGTCAGAGTAATAGAAACTTAAATAGCTATTAATGTTTATTTTCTTTATCTGGATTGACATTCAACACTGGTATACGTAAAAGTATTTTAACGTGCATATTATTGGCATTTAGGTCAATGTTTTAGATCTTACAGGAACAATGTCTCTATAAAAAACCAAGTTGTAAATAGATCCTGTTTATACATAGATTTGTATAGGCAATAATGTACATATATATACATTTGTCTTTTGTTTCACATTTTTTTTCCTCTTTTATTATATACACAATAACATAGTTAGACATCTAATAAGATAGAATAAAGCCAAAAAGAAGGAGAGGGACAAAAACAGAGAGAACTTTAACAAAGCTAGAATAAATAAACACGGGTGATTTAAGAATATCTCTTGTTTTTCTTCTTTGACAATATACAGATTAAACTAGAGATTACACCATAAAATTTTATGTTCATACGTTGAGAACTATGTTATTCGTTATATATTTTATATAATAGATGAAAAGGGATGTTAAAAAGTAGCTAGACAAGGAGATGAGAATAATTATAATAACAAAAGAAAAAGGGAATATAAATTTTTTTTCTCTCTCGACATTTGACGATATCTAATTAATTTATTGATAGAAAAACACGGAATATTGTCAATGGTAATTTTCGAGAGCTTATTAAATAGTATTATAAACTAAGATAAATAATCTACTCCTTATTTTTACATTATTTCTCTTTGAAGAGAACAAGATGATTATAGGAAAATAACAGTTACAAAGTATAACAAAAATAGACAAGAAAATAATATTCGTTCTCCATCAAATAGACAAGATTTTTTTAGGTAAAATTTGCTTCATAATCTCTTTTAAATGTGTCACTAAAAAAGAAGAAGATAGAAAGAAATTGTACATACTTTCCTCCTTCCTCCCACTCTCGCCCCCTAATCTAAAAGTTACCTAAATATAAGAGTAATATTTCTTATATCTTCCTCTTTGTACAACTACTAAGAAAATTATTATTTTTTATAGTATTGTAGATGGCGCAAACAATCAAATCGTAATATTTTTATATTATTTCATTTATTGTATATTATGTTTCTTTCCTCTTTTATCTAATTATTAAGTTTCTTCTTTAGCAATTACTGAAAGAAAACAAAAAAAAATTGTATAAAGAATGATGTGAATAAATATTTCGTATATGAATCATCTTTGATAGATTACATGTTTAATTTAAATTAGTAATAATTGATAAAGAAAGAGAGAGAGAGAGAGAGACAGAGAAAGAGAAAATGAAGGAATGAATGAGAGAGTGAAGATATATTTATAAAGAAATTATAATTCAAGAAGAAATTATTAAGCAAAGATATATTTTCATTATTCTTCTTTCCTTAACTCGTCATCTTTCTAGATTTAATTGACTTGAAGCCAGACAATATTGAAGACTTGACGGAAGTCATAACAAGTTTAGATTTCCACCCGAAAAATTCTTATTCATTCCTTTATGCTACTAGTCGCGGAGCTATTAGACTTTGCGATCTAAGGCAAAATTCCGTGTGCGACAACGTGGTTAAAGGTATTTTACATATTAAATATATCTAATTTATTAATTAATTAGTTAATTAATTGGTTTAATTAAATATATAACAAAAAAAAGTAAATTATTTAATTTTGTAGCTTTCGAAGAGGATAAAACTGGAAAAGAGAGTTTTTTTAATGAGATAACATCTTCAATATCGGATGTAAAATTCTTACCAAATGGCGACTTGTTTATGACTCGTGATTATCTATATTTAAAAGTCTGGGATACTAGAAAAGAAGATAAGCCTATTCAAATCTTCAACGTTCATGATCCCATCAGAACAAAATTATGTGTACTATACGAGAATGAATGCATTTTTGATAAATTTACTTGTACTTCGGATTCAACAGGACAATATTTATTAAGTGGATCGTATAATAATCTATTTAAAGTATTCGATCGGTACAATAAAACGGATGTCATGTTTGAAGCGACTAATGCTCATCAACAATTGAGGCCTAAGAAGCTTATTAGCTCACAAAAAGTTAAAAAGAATGAAATGAATGTTGAGAATTTAAATTTTAAAAAGAAAATATTACAAGCAGATTGGAATATGACTGAAAATGTGGTTGCTATTGCTGCAGTTAATAACTTGTTCTTTTTTCGAAGCAAAAGCTAGTCGTTCAATATATATATATATTCAATTGTTATCATTTACATTGTTCAAAAATCTTCTCTAAATAAATACACTGACATAATTGAATAAACTCTTGTTAATCCTTCCTTTATTTTCCTTCTTTTCCTGTTATTTTTTACTATTTATTTTTCATACCATTCCCCTTTCAGTTAATACAACTAGATCAGCGTAGACTATCTGTCTCCATTTTAACGAAAGCGTTTATACGTTTATTTATATTCAATTAATTCTCTTTTTATTACAATTTGCTAGGAATTACTATTCTTAACATTAGAAATAACCGGAAAGGAATTACCAGATTAAGAAATAAATATATTACTATTAATAAGAACTGTTAAACTAGCAATAAATTATGGGAATTTTTTTTCAGATCATACCATTTATGACGAAAAATTAATTATTAGTCATAAATTAAAGAAATTCAAATTCTTTATTTATACAATTAATTAAGCAATCAATTACTCGTTTCTCCCTCTTTTTCTCTCTCGCTCGCTCGCTAGCTGTATCTTTCCACGTCTCATTCACTCACTCTCCTCTTATTTTCCTGTGTCATAACCGAATTTTTCAATAAAAAAGGCAGGTGTAAAAAAAAATATAAACAATCTTTTTCAGGATAATAAAGTTTTGAATCATTGAAAAACAAAACAAAATAATAATTTTCTAATTATAAGATTTAAATAGAAAATTAAATAACAAAGTTTTTCTATACTAGATGAAGCTTCCTGTAATCTGAATATTCAAGTTGAGCGTTCGTTGATTTCTCACTTTCGTTCTTCGTTAACCACCATATAACAAGGTCCTTAGACGTTAATTGCTGATCTTTTAATGATCTTAATACTTCTAAAACTGATTTTTCATTACCATCTAATTTATAGATTTGGTGAGGAGTGTCGACATCCGTTTCGTCTTTCTTCTTTACGGTAGTAAATATTTTAACAGTAATATTACCAGATAAGAATTGATTAGAATTTTTTATTGGAATTTCATCTTGAAAACCCTTCAATTTTCGCTCATTTCTATAAAGTTTAAACTTATTATTGTTCTTTGGCAGTAGACCTTTAGTTAATGTTTCTCTGGCTGTTAAAATCCTTTTAGTTCGATAATCCGAGAATACTTCTCTCCTCTTCATATCTTTAGTAATATATCGAGTAGTGATTTTTTTATAATTAGAACACAACTTCTACATAAAAAATACAGAGCACTTGAATTACTTCAGGTTTGTTTACGAAAGAGATAATGCCGCTGAATATATAAACGCAGTATTCGCAGTCACATAATCAATCGCATTATCGAATCAGCAGTGAATTTATATCAGCATAAAAAAGAATTCAAATCTAGCCTCTCTACATGAAAATTTATAGTTATCGCCGTTTGAAAATAATCCTCTGATTATATAAACTATACAATCTAAATAATTTAGTATTCAATCTCAGAATGATTAAAATTTCATAAAATTTTTCACTTTAGATTCTTTATATCGATTTATCGAAAGCTTATTCACTCGCTCACTCATTTTTCTTCCTTTCTCTCACTCTCTCCTTCCTACTACTTAATTCAATCCCACCCCAAACCAACACACTCTCTCCCCACCTCTTCTTTATTTTCTTTTCAGCTATTTAGTATTTAACCTCTAGTTCAATCTTTTCCACTCGATATGAATATCAAGTTTTTCCCCCCTTTAGGATTTTTACATTCTACTTATTTGGTATATTCTATAGAATTTGTTTATAATTCCAAAGAAATATCACTTTTGATCCTATACTAATTAATTACCTTCTCTTTTACCATAACTATAAAAAGTACAGTAATGTATAATATATGAAAAGAGTTACTGGCAAGTTATCAGAAAACACAAAGTAAGGTTATTTAATGAATTTTCTGTTTTTAAACAGCTCTTCTTGGCATAGACCACTCCTATTTTTTTGTTTAATCTCCAACTGGAAGATTTTCTCATATACACAACCTGGTCAGTAAGGAGAGAGAGAGAAAGAGAGAAAGAACAATTTAGACATATCGGTATAGGTGAAAAAATTTGGGTGAGAAAAGTCTGAATGGTCAATCATAAACTTTTCTTTTGAAAGAACTCTATTGTATACAAATATTTCACTTTTTTTTATCCTATTCTCTTTGGCCTTTTGAACAAATGATAAAACTCAAATATTGAACTTAAGAGAATGATTCAATTATATCCTAACTATATAATCTACATTTGTTTAGCTAGATTATTCGTAGACTTATCAAATACAGTCAAATAATCATTTAGTAATCACTCTATAAATGTGTTTATATAAACTACACATATATCATATAAAAGGGAAAAACGAATTTATCAAATCTATTCATGTATCTACCATTCTCACATTCAACGTCAATGTCAAATAACGATATCATTATGACCTTTAAAAAAGGTTATATTTAATTTATTTAGATATCTAATAGCATTTAATAGATATCTTTTTGTACATATTCAAAATTATAATCAATAAAAACCTAAAAAAGCTACATATAGTAATCTTTTAAAGAAAAGAACAACAGATATCTCTATTAGTGTTTGTTTTATAGCTAAAACACATCTTTATACAATACAGCCAACTTATATTTTCAGTACATTAATACAATTAAAAGTAACTACTGTAGAATTATTATTAAAATAATTAATACAATAGATCATTATAATATATAGTTTAATGTATTCTAGAGTTTTTGCCTCCTCTATTGTTCTTTTTACGCCTATCTTCCAGTTAATCTTTTGTCGGAAATTAATATTCGATTTATTAGTTTCCTTCTATTTTAAATATAATAATAGATATGGTTAATATATATATTATTACTCTCTTATTTAACTATTATTTAGAGCCTACTACATTTTATATAACATTTGCCATTGATTTCTGTTTGAATAAGAAAATAATTGATAAAGTAGCACATCCTTTGTAATACCTTAATTCAATTAATTTTCATTGCACAATGTTGAAAAATCTTACTTCTCCCTATCTATAAATCTATATACAATCTAAGATCATAATTTGAAATTTATATAATGTTATACATTATTTATTTAAATAACTGTCATTATATTACATGGAACGCAATTATAATAAAAAGTTGTTGTTGTTTTTCTTTTGGTTATATAATCAAGAGCATGCTGAGGCTAAAAGGAGTACTAAAAGAAACAAATTATTTTTTTTCTTTTTCTTTTTTTTTTAAAAAAAAAACCAATAATGCTTTTTTCCGCTGATTTTTTTTCCCAATTTTTCTGTCTCACACTGCACAAAAAAATATGTTATAAACTAGAAATAAAAATGTGTTAAAAGTTTGTCTTTCTTTTCTTTTAGCTTGGTTAAATTTATATTTGTTTAAGCCATAACATCTTTCTTGTTTACAGCATTTCTTACGCAACATGCAAAAACAATTCCGAGAATCTGTGTTTTTTTTTAATAATATTAAATTAATGCACTTTATTAATATCTATAAATTGTATTTACCTGTATAACGGCTATACCAACTCCAATACCAATTAAAATTGCGGCTCTATCCTCAACCCACTTTTTCAATGCATCGTAGCATCCCTATTTAAAATTAGTAGAACAAATTTATCGTACAGTTCTCGTTATAGAATATATTTCAGTAAGTCAACTTACGTCTTTGTAAGAAATATTATTATTTTCAAAATCATTGAAACAATCTCTCATTTCTTGACTGTTTGGATCGTCGGGTTTTTCGGTACTTTCTTTCTTGTTGCTGCAGCAACTTTGAGGATATTTATGGTTTCTCTATAAAGTATCCAGTTTGTTAATACATTACTTAGTTATAATAGTGCTAAAACTTACATTTTCGAAATTGGGATTGTTATTGTAATCTGTATACGAGTGTGAGCCGCAACATTTTAGTTTATTTTGCATGCTACTCCAGGCCAGAACAGTTACATCATTATTTGTTGGTTCTAAGGGTTTCATTGTGGTATTTGCAAACTTCTGCATGTTTTCTTTCAGTGCATTGCCAAGTTCTTTTCTAAACACTGCAGCTAGAATCGCAGCTGTAATTTCCGCAAGTAGAAGAAGACCCATGATGAAAGCATACATCATCAGTAGGCAAGAACTTTCTTGGATTGCTCCACAGCATCCCAAGAATCCAGTCAAGAAAATAATTGCTCCAATTACTATAACCAAAATAATAGCAGCCTGCATTGTTTTCTCGTTATTATCAATCTTGATTACATCCAAGTACTTGTTAAAGTTTTTATCTACTTTCATCCAAATTCCAACGCCTAGAAGAGCCGCCCCGGCAATCTGTTAAGAATAGCGCCATCTATCGGTTATTGTGTCCATGTGCCGCACAAATAATCAATGTACAATTAATTTAAAAATATTACTGGAAATAGCAATTATGCTGTTCTGCCCAGTTAATAGTGTTTATTCATATTGCAACAAAATACCATTGTTTTCTAACTAGGAGATAAGAAATAAGCCTATACGGCTATAAAATATGTTCGACCATATATGAATAAAATGATGTAGAAGAGATACACTAATATCCATATTCTTATGAATCATTATCATAAAACTCCTCCTTTCGCCTTTCATAAGGTATGTAAAAGGTAAAGAAAATGACTAAATCTTTATGCGTTACCTACGTTCGCAGAGTCAACTCAAGGTTAGAGCGCCACCAGTACACAGCAAAAACTCAAAAATTTACAGGTGTGCTCGCTGTAGCAAAGATAAGGAGCACAAAGAGAGAAAACGGGAAAGGGAGAGAATATAATAGTGAAAGTAACAGAGAGTGAAGGAGGTAAAGATTTGTAAAGAAAAGCTAAGAACTATAAATAAATTATTTCGTATTTCCTACTTTAACCTAGAAATTGAACGTTAGAGCGTACTGTTGTTATTATTGTTTTTCTCTGCTAAATAAACATAGCCTAAACATATGTAATGTAATAATTTCTAAATAATAAAAAACACAATAATTTACTTACAAAGAAGATGATGTTGAAGAAGAAGAGAATATATTTTGCACATTTCGTGCCGCATCCCATAGATCCGAATCCCATGACTGTTTCTTTAAAATGGTATGTTGTTTAGACTAGTTAAAACAATTCTAATCGTTGACTTTGTTAATCTTCTTTTGTTTCAAATTGTACAAAATTTAGTAGAGTCGATGTTGTCTGAATCGATTGTCAACCGAATAGTGGCTGGATGCTAAGTTGTGTGGCGCTGGCAGCCTCGATCTGAAATGTACGAGCTTTGAAAAAGTATATATATTTATATACCTGTGTGGCTATGAGTCATCATCCAATTATCATGGAGGATGATAAGAATGACTAATGTTTGCCGAAAGGCGGTGTGTTTTTAAAGGCTATACTTCCTGCGCTCAAAAAATATGTCAGATAAACTAACCACGATTTACAAATATCGCGAATATATCGACTTTATTAAAGGATTTATTAAAAAAACAAAAAAGTAAAGAACTTTATGTAAATCCAGTTTGGCAACTGATGCTAAAGTAAACTATTGTGTGACGTTAGACAAACGTATGTATTTACATTATCGGATATAATTAATGTTAATGGATTATATTTATTAATAGCCCATAAGAAATTGAGGAAAGATGGGGAGATGGCATAGATATACATAAGGGTAAAAGTAGACAAAATAGAGAAAGAGTAGCATACTCTCTAGTATTCTAATTCTACTCCAAAGGGGTTATTTATAGACTAAAGAAGATCATTGCAAATGTGGGCAAAGTCACGTGCGGTAAACACGTAGAGACAATGGATAGTTAAACTACGTTTCGTTAGAAAATTATATATTTTATATCCTATAGAATTTTTTATAGCATATGCGTCAAAAAAAATGATTTTACCTTTTAAATCGTTAAATACTTGCCAGTTTTAGCTCATTCAGTTGTTTTTTTATTTTTTTTTTAACTATATACTGTTTGTATACAAGTTTCGGTTATTCTATGATTCCAATATTTGTGTTTTTTATTCACGAATTCTCTTACTAAACATAAACAGAAATGTTAAATCTATAAATAAACTCCCTTTTCACCTTCCTTTTACTGACTCATCTTTCGTTTAAGGAGAATAGCCGTATTAAGAGTACGATACATTTTTATTGGTAAATGGGATGAAATCATTATTTCATGGTTATGATTATATAATGTATAGACAAGAAAGAGACGGACGGAAGTTTGTACTTGTAAAAAAATATATGGCAGAAACAATCAGATTAATATTTAAATAGTGTATTTATTCTATATAACGGTTTTTTTTTATCTAAGAGATTTGCTTTTCAAATCAAATAAATAAACTGTTTCGTCCAGTCATTTATCTTATATTCCATATAATTTCTATAGACCAAAAAAGACCAAATATAAAAATCGTTTCAAGTCTTTTCTATTCCCTTTAAAGAGACAAAAAAAGAGTGGAAACATATGAGAGATGATATATAGAAAGGGAAAAACTTTTATGGAATATCTTACAACGATTTGGACCTAATGTATAAAAAATAATGGAAAGAAAGAAGAAGAATAAGAGAACCAAACAAAGAATAATGGATAATTTTTTCTTTATATTCTATTTAAAAAGGATGAAAAAAATGAAACATTTACGTACACTGAAGCATCGTATATAGTATTTTATATGTTCTTGTAATTTAACAAACCTAATGAACTTTCTTAACGAGTACAACTAAAGTTTCCAATAATTCATATATACATTTAAATATTTGTCCTTAACGTACCTTTTGCCTTTTATTTTATTATAGTCTCATCACAGTTGCAAATATTTAACAATATCTATGTGAAATAAATTTACTTTATATGTAAGCCTATAGTGTTATACTATATTATATACAACTTTAATAATAAAGTAACAATCTAAAAGTCACTTTGCGAGTATCAATTCAACAAGATAACATTCAACTTATTAACTAGTTAATTAATTTAAATAAAGTATTTATATATAAAATGAATACGTCTGTCTTGAGAAGTATATTTTTATTACTTTATATTAGAATTGTATTTTGAAAAGGACCATTAAAAATATAGTACAGTGTGTAAAGAGTCTTATGCGTCTGAATAATATTAAAATAGTTCTTACGAAACATTCGCGCTCAAGTCTATTGAATTATAAAATTAGCAATGGAAGATTATATATACAGTACGGGTAACCTATTTTTGAACGCCCAGCTATTTTCTATAATAGTTAAAATATTTTTTCTATAACATTAATTTTACAATCGAATAATTAGATATGTCAATTATCTCTTTGCACACAACAGATTCAACTAGTTAAATTTTTAAATTTCACTGTTTAAATAACAAAAAAAATTTTATTCTGAAAATGTCACAAAAAGTGCCCGATATCCTATTTTTGAACTTTATGAATTCTGATAAAAATGTTGTTAGAAAAGGTAAGAAATATGTTTATTTTTACATTTTATTAACGTATAGATTATATTACTTCAAATAATCACTTTTTCTTTTTCTTTAATATCTTATATTATATCCTTTATTTTTCCAACATAATCTGGCTCTTTTATGGAAGCTTTTGTATAAATTTGCAATATACCAATTTGGTATGTTATTAAATTCCTCTTCTACTGCCCTCCACAAATCATCTTTTGTCTGCAAAACATGGGTTTGCAACCTATTTTTTAAGTAAGCCCACAAATTTTCAATAATGTTCAATTCTGGGCTTCTGGATGGCCAGTCTTGTAAAACTGTTATATTGTTTCTCTCAAGAAATGTCCTTGTAGATGCCGATGTATGACATTTGGCACCATCCTGCATAAGCAGGTTGTCTGGCTCAAACATTGGAAATAGCTTCTCCTCAAGTATTTCTTGGTATAAATTGCTGTCCATATACCCATTATATAACTTTATAGCTCTTGTCCCATCAGCTTTTATACACCCCCATATTGATATTGATGAATTTGCTGTTCGAACAGCTTTTTTGGTGTATTTTGGATCATACCGTTTATGACTCCCCCTATGGACCCAAATTCTTCTTTTTGGATACAATTCAATCCGACTTTCATCGGAAAATATAATTTTGTTTACATCTTCTTGACTCTTATTTAACATAGACAAACAAAAAGATTTTCTATTTCTTGCATGGCAAGGTTTTAGCGCTGGCTTACTTGTTGCAACATAGCTTTTAAGGTCGTTTTTTTGCAAAATCTTTTTGCATGTCGATAGAGAAATTTTGGAACCTAATCCTGAATGTTCAAGCACATTCCTTGCCGTTAGAAATGGATTTCTCTTTGAAATTTGGCAAATTTTTCTCTCTTCCCTTTCTGTTAAAATCTTTGGGGTACATAGTTTCGATAGATTGTTAATAGTTCCATGTTTCTCAAATTTTTTTGTTATGTAGTGGACAGATCCCTTTGAAATTTTTAATTGTTTTGCAATTTCGTTCATTGACATCTTCTCCTTCCTCTTTTCCAACACTAATTTTCTCATGTCCAAGCTTATTTTTGGCATTTTTAACTTTTTTAAAATTGTTATCCTACTTTGATTCTTGACATAAATTGTCATGTGGGAAAGCAAAAAAATTTGGTCATTTTCGTAAATTTTTAATTATTGTTCAAAAATAGGATATCGGGTACTTTTCACGATTTTTTCATAATAAAAATTTTTTGTTATTTAAACAGTAAAATACAAAGATTTAATTAATTGAATATGTTGATTACAAAGTCACAATTGCCATGTCTAATTGTTGGATTGTAAAATTAATGTTAAAGAAAAAATATTTTAACTAATATAGAAAAAAGCTGGGCGTTCAAAAATAGGTTACCCGTACTGTATATGACTATTGCATTCATATATAACATTGACAGACACGAGTTGTAGTTGTTATCAATTATAAATATATAAAGTTTTTATCAAGTTTCCAAATTTGGAAACAATTTTAATTGAAAAAGAAGAGTTTTAATGAAGAATATAAGACACTATATATATATATATATACTGTATACATATACGAATTTACACGAAAATAAGCTATATCGAAATAATTATTAAGTAGAAATTCTACAATAAACTATATATATATAGTAATATAGAATAGACATATACAGTATATCTATAACTTACATATATACTGTGTAGAAAGTATATCTTGATGATCTAAGCATTTTTCAAATACTTTATCAATATTTCAAAGCATATTTCGATATTACTTTCTTAGTTAAGGAATAGTTTCGAGCAGTATTTTATAGATATGTCTTTGAGCATTTTTTATGATTAATAGCAACCGCCTATTTCTAAAAAGACCTTTTATAAGAAAGCGCAAATGATCTCATTTTACAAAAAATAACCTTTCAGGTTCTAGGAAGAAAACGATATTTATTACAAATTTATGATCTGTTGCATAAAATCTATGGCTTAATCATAGATAAAACTATTTTATGAAATAACTGTGAAATAGATCGATCGAACTGGAATTTACCTTAATTAATACTTTTATTTCCTCTCAAATGGATATATGCTATAAGCTAGCTCACGTTTTCTCTCACTCTCTCCCTGTCTTTCTCCTTACATTAATGAAGAATCTATGATGATAAATGACTTGGAGATATATAAAAAAAGACAAAAAAGTTAATATACGAGTAGTTTTTGATATTTGAGTAAAAGTCTACTCTTGTTTAGTTGTTATGCTTTCATATTTTTTACCCAACTTGTAAGTTTTTTAGTATTAAAAAAAATAAAAGATCGTTAAAAATGTTCTATTTATCAGACTAAGCAATTTTCTAATTTTCATCCAAAAAAAATGATAATTTAATCAAGATAATAAGTAGAAAAGAGATTTTTTTTATGATAAAAATCATCGTTCTATTTTCTGTTCGTTTTATATTTTCAAAAATGAGAAAAACAAAAAAAGTAGCGAGTATATAGATTACTTAAACAATATGTTTTGAAATATATGTATATATATTTTCTGTGTAATGTATTTATTCACTACGTAATTGCTAATTTGAATATATATATACAACTTGAACGCAATATATATATATATATATATATTCATATTTTACCTATCTCCCTCTTGTTTTAAGATTTATTAATTTATGAATTATTATTAATAGCTGTAATAAATGGTTTTATAACTAAATGTGTCTACTTCCGATAAATATCATATTGTAAAATTTATAGTGTATTACGCAAATTTGACTTAATTTCGAATATTCTATTCATCCTATACAGACCACTCAGTATATGTAGTTTTAAATAGTCGGAAGTATAATTTCATCTTTAAACATTTATATTCTCCATAATCAACCTTCATACATAGCTTTCTAATAAATTGGTTGTCCTTTTCTATTAGTATCTATTTATAAGTTTTATAGCGCAAAAATAGGAAAAAGGTTCATTTTCTGTTGGGTAAATTATATAACTTTTAATTAATTAATTATTAACCAATAAATAAATTAATTATGAAATATTGATAATTTTTACCCATTTTTCGTATTTATAATATTGAGTATAGTGTGTATATGCCGTATTTGTATAATTGTTTTAGTCTCTTGCTTATCTTAGATCCCTTTTCCGATAGTAAAGTGATGCCTAGCGATATTTTAAACTGATATTTTCATTAAAACGGTTTTTTATTATCAGATAAACTAATATTGTCAAATTGATCGTATTAGAACGATCAAGAATGATAGAAAAATTTATATATATACTGTAGATATAGAGGGAGAGAGAACACTTGTTGAGAGATAGTTAGTCAAACTACTATATTGAACAATTACTATTCAACTGTCAGTTGAAGGATATTAGATAAAAGTGTCCATAGTCGTTTGCTTTTTTTCCGTTTCTTTCTGTTTCTCTGTCTCTCTCTCATTCTAAAGCTTCATTTATCGTCACACGTACCCCACCCCTAGTTTCTTTTTTTAGCTCTATTCTGTAAAGTTTACATGGTATTAAAAATTCTACAACTCTACTCTATTCTATTACAACATTATCTTCCAACATATAATATACAGGAAAAGGAAATATGTTGTTTTAATTTAACGAATGATTATATAATTTTAAAGATAAGTGCTTGTTAAAAATTATACAGAAAGATAACGAAAAATTAGGCTACAAAGCATTTTACCTTCAAAATTTTATTATTCAATATTTGTGAATAGGTTGAAAAAAAATTCAAAAAAAAATTAATTTAGTCTGTTAAAGTATAAGTATAAGACTAGTATGTCTGAAAATTGTTCATATTCTTCTTAAGTTATCCATTCAAATAAGATATAAAGTAATTTGTAAGTAAAAAATCATCTTTTATTGCCAAATTGTAAATGGTTGTATGAAGCAATCAATATAAATACTGTATATATATTATATATATATATTGATATATAGATTGATATATTCTATAAGACAAAGAATCACGATTCTTGATAAATTTTCTAATAATAGGAAGCACTACTCTCTCAGTACACGATGTATCTCGTAAACGAACTTTTCAAGGTAACACAAAAGGAAATCATAGAGTCTCAAGTAAAACACGTATTATTTATTCTTAGATGAAATATTTCTGGTCAAATGATTTCTATTTCGCTAGAATGAAGCAATATTATGAGTAATATTACAAAGTATTCTAAGCTACACTTTTAAAAGTTTTCTTATCAATCCTGTTTTATCTTAAATAACTTGACTAATTTTTAAGCTTTAGGCTTAAAAATGCGAAACTCTCTAATAAAAATACATTTTATTGTATGCTTGTATAATTCAAGCTATTTACATTTACTAAAGAATTTTCTTGGGCTCTATATACCATGCCAATGTATTCAATATATTTAAGTTGCATCAACTTCTTGCCCAACTTTACGTGCTTTGTATAAAAAATCTCGTTCTCCCTCTGCTTTCATGCTGCGGTATTTATTCATAGTAAAACATAGCCTTAATTATTATATTAATAATATAAATAATAAGGTAATTACACTTTGACGCGTCTGTTTCGTCAATCTACAGCATTACTACACTAGAAAAATAGAATTCAAAAGGCTACTGGTGCCAACCGTCCAAGTCTATTGAATTCAGACCCCAAAAGGTCATCGAAACCAAATCATCAGCTTTAGATGATAAACTGAAAGAGCAAAGAAACAAGTTCGAGGAAAGGCTAAGAGAGAAAAAAGCAGAGAGCAATGTAATAGAAATAAGACTAACCGCTCAAATGGAGCGTATTGTTCAAATGATGGATTCTTATCAAACAAATCGTATCAATGAATCACGTAACCGACCTGTGTTTATACAATCGCAAGAGATGGAATATGTCACAACGGTTAAAGAACAAAAATAGCGGAATTTCGAACATTCTTTACGAAAAAGATAACAGAATACCACCTATCAATGGTCTATCCACCAATAGACAAGTCAATTCTGGTCCTTCAATGCATGACTCTGCTACCGGAATCGATTCCATAAGAATTAAAAAAATAAAATTCTTCTTGAATATCATGAAGACTATAGCTCATGTACAACAAAACTAGAACAATTCGTAGCGAATAGTATTAAAGCCATCGAAAATGGACCTTATATTTCTCATGCAACTCATAAAACTGTCATAGCGTCTAATATAATAGAGATTGATCCCGAAGATATAATACAAAAAAAGAACTTGTTCATCAATTTAACCTTTGTTAAAACTCTTACGTAGCGGTCATATAAGCGATGATTGTACTCCTAAGCTTCGCTGTAAAATAAGTAATCAACGCCATCGTACTAGTGTACATGATTAAACTTCAGCCACTCCTATAAATATTCTTCTTAGCAACACGGATTACTCTGATATTGAAGAGGACCGAATGGCTGGCTACAATGCCCCAGTACAAGTCCCAGCAACAGCAACAGCTGCTATCCATCAAATGTTGGTTCAACTTGATGCGAGTGCACCGATTTCTTTTTTCAGAAGACAGTTTCTAGAAGAAAAACTGTCTGAAGTGATACAAAGCAAAAACGTCTTCTGAGGCTCTGTCTTCACTAAAAACCTACTCTATGCGGAAAAGGTGAAGATCATCTTCCCTTATTTGAGTAAAGGTTATGATGTTAACACCTACATAGTGGACTCTTTAATGGAGATCGAAGATCAACCTAGAATATACATCAATTCAGACTATACCGAACCAGCTATACCAGGTGGACAATCTGATCTACTTATTGGCCAAGATAGTCTTCATAACAGAATCTTGGAAACGCTCCGAGATGACGAGTACAGATATAATAGATTCGCACTTGGTTGGCATCGAACCCTTCTTCAGTTATCCGATTTAGATGATGATTTCGACTTGGATCCCCCATTCTCTCTTTATGATTATCCCCGCTTTTGAACTACTGGAAAATTACAAACATAGTATTTATTATAGTATGTATTGTTAAATAGTTAAGAAGTGTTAGTAGAATATCTATTTCGTAAATAGAAAATATACTTAAAAGATTGATAAACTAATAAATATCATATTTTAATTGCTTTCTTAAAAAATTACCTAAACTTTCATAAAAAATAGTGGCATCATTGTGTTTATTTACTTCATTTTCATCTTAAATTATTTTTATATGTGTATCAAATCTCAATAAGTTCAGTACCATAAATTCAAAAGAGAAAATTATTATTAATTAATTAGTTAAATAGTGCAAGTAAAGGGTTATAGTGTTAATTTTAATAAAGAGAAACAAACGTCTCTATATACTGTATATTTTATATGTTTAAATATTTTAAATATTTTTATTAATGGAAAACAATAATAAACAAAATTCCTTCATTTAGTTTTTGAATAACCTGAATATGGTAATGTTGTCTTTTTATTCAAACTAATTTGCTTACTATCTTTAGAATATACAGTATATTTATATATTATAGAGAATAAAGAGTAAAAGCTTGTTTTGTAATAATTATAGTGTCTTCTCCTTTTCTATGATGTTTATTAATATAATATTAATATTCTGTTTTGTTTCTATTGTCTAAATATAGTCTTGGAATATGGAAAATCATCATGAAAGATTGAAAAAATTTTATAAAAGCGTTTGTAGGTGTAAAACAGATAAATTTACTCAAACTGATGAAAAATACTGTAATTTTGATGAAAGAATGTTTTTTTTTTATATTCAATTCTTTTACTCTTTATCATTATTTTGTTTCTTTTAATAGAAGGAAGTTGTGAATATTTTATTAGAGAATTGAATTTTTACGAATTGAATAATATGTTCAATAAAATTGAAATGTTTAAACCTTATCTTATTGATGTAAGACAGAAATTTGAGGTTAACGAAACATTTTTATTGCCGTATGCTTTAAACATTCCAGGTATTTCGTCTATTCTTTTATATTTATACTATTGCGCTTTAATAACTGCTGATTAATGAAATAGACGATGATATTGCTTTTGCCTTTAAATTAAATGAAGCGGATTTCAAATCTTATTATCATAGAGAGAAACCTGATTCGTTTGAACACAATATAGTTATATACTGCAAAAGTGGATGTAGAGCAAAGACAGTCTATAGTTATTTACATTCCATCGGCTATCATAATGTTAAATGGTTAGGGTTCCATCCCATAACATATGAATACTCTTAGTAAACTAATATCTATTAAAGCTATACAGGTTCATTTAGCGATTGGGTAGACAAAGTAACTTATCCTACGAATTCAACATCTTATACAAATAGATAAGAAACTATAAACAAATAGACAGACTGACAAAGAGAACGAGATAGACAGACAAAGATAGTTTGCAGCAAAATTTTTCTGTCTATCTCTCTGATACATTTCAACACTATACCTGATAAACTGTTATTCTATTACTTTAATAAAATTCCAATATCTTTAAGTCTACTTATATATCAGCGATGAGCGTAGTCTATTGATTTCTTTTCTCTTTAATACATATAAGCAACCAATGTTAAATTAAGAAAAATAAATAATTTCGCTCCGGTAGATAATTTATTGGAATAGCATAACAATTTTGAAAATTATGGATCTTCTTACCATAATTGGTATGTTTGGATTTTTATACTTCAGCATTAGGATATATTTAATAATAATATCATCTAAAATTAAGAAGATAAACACGAAATACGTTTTAATTACCGGTTGCGATGGAGGTTTTGGTAAAATTACTGCTAAAAGATTGCATTCTAAAGGCGTAAATGTTATTGCTGGATGTTTAACGGAAAGCGGAAGAGATTCTCTAAAACAACAGGGAATTAATAGTATTCTATTAAATATTACCAGCGAAGATAGTATAGATAAAGCTGTTAAAATTGTACAGGAGATTTTACCCAAAGGTGTAGGTCTATGGGGTTTGATAAACAACGTTGAATTTCTTGAATTAGCTCTTCCAAACGATTGGCTAAGTATATTAGATTATCAGAGAACAATGAATGTTAACGTATTCGGTTTAATAAACGTGACGCTAAAATTTCTACAATTAATTAAAAAAGAGCAAGGTAGAATTGTTAATATGGCTAATTTAGCTGGTAGAATGGCGTTCGAACATCTGGGACCTTATTCAACTTCTAAATATGCAATTGAAGGTTTTAGCGATTCTTTAAGGTTTGTTTAAAGATATATTTATTAAAATTTAAAATAGTAAACAGTGTATTTTAACTGAAATATAATTCTTTTTATAGGAGAGAGATGAAAAAATGGAATGTTTCCGTACATACAATTGAATCAGATGTATTTAATGCAAGAGTCATAAACGTCGAAGAAAGCATGACCAAAAGATTTCATTCGTTAAATGATACTATTAGGAATGAATATGGAGAACAGTATATTAAAGAATGTAAGCTTCATTTGTTTTCTTACCTTAAAATTTAATGTTATTTCTCTACAGATCTGACTAGCTATAAAATATCAATCAATTTAAACACTAATAAAGACGTTGTTCCAGTTATTGACGCTTATGTTCACGCTATTTTATCACAGTATCCAAAAATACGATATACAGTTGGTAATAAATCCATTTTGTACCGTTTCGTAAATAGTCATTTACCTGATTGCGTAACTGATTTTATCTTAAAAAAAATATCAAAATATCCAAAACCATTAAGGGTTCAATAAATATTTTCTCATTCAAATTGTTTTGATTATTTAATTGTTTCTTCTTGTTTGTTTTTTTCAATTTCTCTTAAAAAGATAGGAATTTAAAAATAGAAAAGGACAAAAAAAGTGCAAATCACGACAGAGATAGAAATTGCCATGACAAACATTTTATAAAGTAGAGATAAACATTAAAGAGTATCTTTTATTTTATTATAAATAAACCAGTTTAAAGTCTACTTGCTTTTGTTTGTCTAAATATAGAATAATAATAGAATATAAGTTTAATGGTCTGTTCAACAAAATGGACGAAAATTTTTAAATAAGACTTTAATACTTTAGAATAGGCTATTAGTCAATCTAATAAAGTCACTAAAACAGACAACATTAATTGTTAATAGCACTATTCAAGTTGTTATGAATGGTTAAACGATCATATTCAATCAACAAAATAACCTCCAATAAAAGTTGTTTGTGTCTTTTTACAATTACAAAAGGTAAAACGTTACTTTTTTCCACAGATACATGTATATAGAACATAATACTGTATATAGGTTTAGACATTATATGTTTTACAAGTGCCATTTCTCTTTGCTACTTTAAATAGATGAGAAATTATATAACCAATATATTAGGCATGTCTTTCAGGAAAGATTACTTTTAAAGAGTGAAAAAAAGACTTTAATTTGTCTGCCATGATAAGAAACTTCACGATTTCTCATAAGAATCACGATAAACATAAATATTTTATAATTTACATGAACATTGGAAAGGAATACTTGAACTTTGAAATAGTACGTAACAATTACACCAGGTAATACTGTATATTAGCTTAAATTGACTAGACAATGCTTGAATCTTTTTCTATTTGCAAAATAACACTTGACAATTTTCTTACCCAACTGAAGAAAAAAACATAACTTTTATTAGAAATACTTAAACAATAAAGTTACTGTTAGCGACATCTAGTAGTTTACTAAGGAATGTATTATCTAAATACAGCTTTTTTATACTGAGTTCAAATTAAAAAATGATACAAGCTAAACTATTAGACATTTCCTAATTCAATCTAATATTTAAGCAAGGATTAACAATCAAATTTCTTGATCTCTTCCGCATTTTTCCTTACAGATTTTGCACAAATCTTTAAAGACATTTTTGATATTTTATTATCATTTAGATTATTCCATATTTCCCTTCAAAAGTTATATCCACCGTGTTCATTAATCATTTCCTTAGTTCTTGTATATTAAATAGTAAACAACATTTCCTAAGATTTCTTACGAACATTTAAATATTTCGCAGTCCACTAACTAAACCAATTACAATTAACAAATAACTAAAGTACTACCAATTTATAGCACTTTGTTTTCAATACATTCATACATTCTGAATGTCGTCTTTTTCCTTTCTTTTTCTTTTTTAATGCAAATTACTGACTACTGTTTTTTTTTATTACATATCTCTAGATACAATTTTATCGATAAATACCTTTCTACTGATAAGAAAATAAAAAGAGAGGAATATGTTTCATTAACATAAAAATATATAAAATGCCTGACGGAAATAAATTATTATTATAAAAGTACGTTGTAAAAGCTAAGGAGATTTCATTTATTTACTCATCTATATTTCAAGTTACTGTTATCTTGTTTAGGAAACTTTTAATGCTAGAAGAGAAGATGCGTTATTTTTGAAATTTTAATAATTTTATTTATTTTTGTTTCTACATTGATGTTCAAGCATGTATATTAGACATAAAAAAAATGATAATCCACAATTTACACAAACTACAATAAAACAACCATCTATTAAATTATCTAACTCGAAATCATCTATACTAGCCACCAGTAACGAAGTTGCTAAGTTGACGAGGCCTGTTAGAAACAATTCAAGAAAATGAAAGAAAGTATACTTTTTATATTAAAACTTAATTTAAATATTAGATAAAAAAGTAAATGGATTTACAAGTCAAAAATAAGAATCCGCATATTAGATATTTCAAAGTTTTTGATGAAATATCAACAGCTTTACAAGTTTTCAACCAGTGTAATAGATTAATAACCCAAGTAATTATTGATCCAACTATCAGTAATTCTTGACAAATTTTCAGGCTAGCTGTTTAAATTATATGTTGAAAATTAACAAGAGCTAAATAATATAAATGATAAAAGTATACTAACATGCCTTACTCGAAGGAACTGGAAGATCGAAAATAGTTACATCATTCCAAAAAGGAAAAGCTGTTGCAGATACTTGAGCTAAAAACACAACACCCAAACTTATTCCAAAAATTTTATCAAAAATTGCGATATTTAACATTACAATAGCAGAATCTGTTCAGTTTGCATTGAAAATAACAAAGATATCACTTATCTATTTAGTGACTACAATCATGCCATCTAGTTCTGTATAATTTTTCCTTCGTCTACTTTAATATCGGTGATGAATTTTTAAATAAAATACTCTGTAATGGGGATACACAGTATACCATTAGTTTATATCTGTTCAACTCGTATATCATTAATTTCCCATAAGGAAGATTTAATGTAATAGAAAATTCCACTCCGATAGAAAAGTACACTTTTGATATCGATATCCTACTTGTGTAAACTACGAAGAAATTATGTTACTTTCCTCTTGATTTAGTCTATTCGATAAAATTACACGATAGTAAAGTGATAGTACAAATGAGAGATTTTGTCCTAAATTTTACACATCAATAGATAAACATTTGAATTTCATTATATGTATTTTGAAAAGATTACTACATTAATATGAAAATGTTTTATTCAAATGGTTCCTTTGGATAAGAGATTCCAAACCATATATTGTTTACTAGGGTTAAAACGCCAGTTGCGATTGCTAAGTAAAAGGAGGGACCGAACAAGGTTTGTCCATTTTTAGTCCCATAGAGTACAATAGCTATTCCATTGCAGATTACTGAAAATAAGAAAATTTTAAATGACTTTTTAAGTAGTTTTTGAAAGTTTTTACGAACGTGTAGCAGTCAAAGATCCGCATATACATATCTTTAGATTTCTTGACTTAAACGAAAGTACTTTGAGAACGTTTAACCAAAAAATCACTTTAGCGAATGTTAGGAGCAAAATTCCGATAATCATACAAGCTTGAGTAGCTTTTAACCACTCGCCAGAAGCACATATATTATCAAATATACAATTCGAAAAAATTCCACTGTGGAATGAGCCCGACTGAAACCAATGTGGTAAAGCTGTTGCCAAAATTTGCAATAGTATTAGAAGAAAAAGACTAATGCCGAAACAAATCTGTAATGAAGTTAATGAAACCATTCTTGAAAGTTGTGTCTGTTTGAATTTTATTTATCAGTCCTCCATTCTCCAGTTATCGGACTTTTTATATATTAGAATAGTTCTTATCAGTGTTTTGAAATAAGTGATACTATGGTAATATCATAAAATAGGAACTTATTCTACAAAGGAAAGTATTCCGAGATATAATCACATATTTAAAAAGATAACAATATCTTTATTGACGGGGTTTTCCATTTTACATACAGTGGATAGAGTATACTATATAGAATCTATATGTTGTATTTATATCAATTATAAAAGTTTTATTTAGTAAAATAATGGAATAAAAGAACTTTTAATAAAAAGTAGACTTTTAATACTTTAAGAGTATTGTTTTTCGATTATTTTCGTTTACTTTCTTTTTGATAATATACTCTTAGAGAGTATCAAAATAAATAATAGTAACTTAACGTATCTTTGAGAAAGAAATCACTCATATACAATTAATACGAATATGAAAACACTTGGCCTATATTTTTCTCTCTCCCCTTCACCGCCCCCGTCCCTGACCTCTCTCCCCTCTGACTGTCTCCCCTCACCGGCCTCCCCCCTTTTTTTATTTTTTTTTGTACTCTTTCTTATATTGCAACCTATCAGCACGAATCTGATGGTTCATTCGTAAGAAAATTGTACGCGATACCGTTCAACCAGACAGCCGTCTCACTCATTTGAAAGCCAACTCTTTTTGATTAACTCTATTATGAAAATATGTCCTCTGTAAAGAACGTTATTATGCAAAGTAATCTATCTCCTAAAAAGGTAGTTTATTTAATTTTTATAGTATAGGATGTGTGATATTAAGGCTATACTGTAAATAAGAGATTGTATTCAAAACGTTTTTTCTACAAATTGGTGTAGATTTAAGAACCGGTTTTTCTTTTCTTTTCATTACAATTGAATATATATTTATTTATTATTATTTTCTATTTTCCAAACAAAGGAAGATAACAGTACGGTTAAAAAGTGTTTGGATTATATATGTAAGGAGAAGGAAAAGATATACGAAACACCTTATGGCGTTACAAAGAAAAACTGCGAAGAAACGCTAGACGCTCTTAAGACTGAAAGTTTAAAAAATTCTGTTAAGAAGATTGTTGATGATTCATGTAAAAAAGTTAATGCTAGCGATGAAGAACGATTAAAGTCAGCGTTTGCTGATTTTATGGTAAATATTGCATATTTTTTCCATTTAAAATTTGTATTAGAGGAGAGAATGTAGGCCAAAAAGGACGTAAATATTTCGATGTATTCATAGGCTATTATATAAATTAAGAAAGGGAAAAAGAGAGGTCTGCTTTTTTAGTCATCAATTTCTGATAAAGATCATAAACTTGACTTAAAAGTATTTTAACTATTGCATTGTTATATTATAATTTATTAAAAATATATTAAAATACATTATTAATAATTAACTAGGCACTGATAAGCAGAAAATTGGTTTGCGTTCAAAACATACAAGGAGTAGCTAATTTGGAAAATAGTGTTACTGATTTTATGTCGAAAGTTGACTTGTCTTCTCGCTATTTAATCGATATACGAAAGCAACACGAAACAATCGGCGAGAATGTTCAAGTTGACCGATTGAACACTTTTCTTCCACCGAATGCTCATGATTGTATCCATTCCGTTTCGGATGCTTGGAATTGGATTCAGATACTAATGGAATGTGTTTCTATCCAATTAAAACACTCTTCCGATTATCACCAATTCTTTCATGAGATTCAAGAGTCTGGACCATATTTTAATAAAGATTTAGAAAAACTTCTCGAATGTATGGAATGTAAGAATGTTTCAGGTGATTTAGCATACGCTAAAGAATTATGCGACGATATGAAAAAGATAGTAGACGATTTGAAAAGGTTAAACCTATATATTATACAATACATTGCTCATTTTACATACTATTCTCTCCCACAGATGGAGGATAAAAAGTGTAAATTGGCTTTCTAAATCCCTTACCATAGTCCCAATTGATCAAAGAGTAAAACCAATAGTGGAAGGTAGACCAATTCCTGGTATTATTTTAAGAAAGCAGGCAGAAAACACTGATTTAAGAGAGAATGAAGATATTCTAATTGAGAAAAATGAGGGTAACGAATGGAAAATAAAGAATTGCAAGGGAGAAAGTTTTCTTGTTCCAAATTGTTGCGTTACAATACCAACTCCTTGCGACGATGCTGTAGACGCTGCAACATATTTGCAATTGAGACTATTAGAAGCGTGGACAATGGCAGTGAAGAAAGTTGGAAAGAGAGTTATTGTATTTCTATTAGCCGTCCTAGCACCAGCATATACCGGTGAAGAGGTTGGTATAATTTAACAAATTACCTTAACGTACATAGAGTATGTATAGAGTTAATGAACTTTATTGGCATTAAATAAGAAATGTAGTTTACCTTTACTTCTAGCATACTAAAATTAGTACAAAATCTAAAAGGTAATAAATGGACAGATATTTTACGTTTTTATTGCTCTGTGTACAATAAGTTCTTTAGTTCAATATAAACTATCTGTATTTAGAATTTTAGTACAAATAATTTAATAAAATCCGTCATCCATATCTACTATTCAATGTTAATAGTTTTAAGCTTAGAAAGAGGGAGGGAGAGGGAGAGAAAGGTATGCAAAGAGAGTGGTAGGATAGACCTAAGCAGAATTTTTGAATAGATGGAAAAATTTTATAAATACACGCGAGGTGAATCTCTATATTTATATAATTTAAATATATACAAAAAAAATAACATATTACTATAAATAGATTTCCTATTGCGGTATTTAAATCCTATCAAAATGTTCTATATTTGCTCTATAACATGTCATAATACCGTATTCAAAGGATCAGAAATTTTTTGGAAATTACTTACTACACTTTTTCTTTTCTATAGTAGTAATACACTATATTAAAACCGGAATGCTTTATATAGTCATTATTTAAATAATACTAACAAAAATAGTATATCTAAAAATAGATATTTACATTTTTACTAATTGACCTTTATACAATTATATAGCCAGCGGTAAGTTTAATTATTACTATTCCTTGAACAAGACGGTAATAATGGTAAATAGAAAGGTGGTTGTTGTCTATTATTGCTTTTAATATTTTATTTGGCTTTTGTTATTATCTTTATAGCAATTTTTTTTAAAAAAAAAAAATAAAACAGTATTATCATTAGTTTTCTAACAAAAACGCTACCAAAACAATAAATATAAAGCCTTATTTAAATATTCTTGACAACTTTATCTATCGTTAAAATAATTAAGAATGAAAGAAAGAAAGAAGAAATTACTTTTAACTATTTAATTTTGAAAATATAACAATCTTAATGAACTTAATTCTAATTTATTCATATTTTTTCAATATTTATAAATGTATTAGTTAATTAATAATATTATTTATATAGATTTTTTTTCAATTTCTTTAGATTGAAGCTATGAGAAAGACAAACGAAATTGATAAAAATCGATTTGTTAATTGTCTTGATGGTGCTGAAGATGAATTATCTGGAATATGGAAAGATTATAATTATTTTGTTCAACTACAAGAAAGATTCCTCGCCGCTAAAATGATAATGAAGGGCGGAGAAGGTATTTTATAAAATCCTTTAAGCCTTTCATAAATAGACTGTCAGACTATAATATTAAATCGGCTAACTTTATTTCTCTTTGAAGAATTATATGTAAATAGTAATGACTTAATTTATTTTTCTCCAAACATAGAAATTTCGACTGAAGATGGCGACAGTCCCACAGCTCTAGTAGTTCAAACTCAGGCCATTGATAATATAATTAAAGTCTATAAGGTATGTTTTATCCTATTAACCGTTAAGGCGTTTGTCGTTTTTATATTTCTTTTTTCTCTTAAAACCAAGTTTAGTTGTTGAAAATTCTCTTTTTGTATTAAATCAACAAAGAAGATTACATACTCTTTCTATTCTTCTTTTTTTAGTTCTATCTTTCTGTTTTATTCATAAAAACTTGTTTAAGAATTTTTAATCATCCTATAATAGTAAAAAAAGAAAAAGAAGATCTATTTCCGTTTGAGAAGTTGTTCTTTGTTCAATACTAAAATTCTTTCTCATAAAATATAGAGACAATCGTTGTTGTTGCAAGGAATAATTTTTTTTTTCATAATACGAAGATATCTTTCCAATTTTCTTGTGTTGTTCTTTAACATAGATCGAAGAATATCTTGGGTATTCATTTTTTTTATTTATTTGTTTATTTATATAAGTTAGGAAAGATTCAAAGGATTTTGAATAAATACCAGATATATATATATATAAAACAAGCCAATGAATGAATTCATTTACACTATAATAAAATAATTCCATTTACCAAGCTTATTCAATGATATTTTACTTTTGATTGTTTATTAAAATAAAAAATATCCGTTTAGTAAATATATAAAAATCATATTCAACCGAAAAAGAATAGTTTCTACTCTCAAACTGAGGAGAGAATGACTAAATGATAAATTCGATTAATCTAAGAGAAATAGAAGAAAGGGAGAAAAAACTTAGAGAAAATAAGATAGCGAGATAGAGGAGAAGAGACAAGGAATACGTTGTTCATTTTCTTTTTAGGTTTTGTATGAATAAATCTATAGTCTCTTTTATACTTCGCATTGAATATGTAAAAATATGTATATATAAAAACTACTTGTATATCATAGAATATACTGTATACCGTAGATATATTTGTACATAAAAGAACAACATGTTGTATTAAAATATTGAATATTTCATTTATTACACTTAAAAACTTGAAAATATGATCAAAGTATATTGAATCATACAAGCGCACCTTTATTTTATTAATTCTAACTGTTTTATTTGTTTCTCTTAATATTATAATATTATTTTTTTAAACAGGAATTAGTCGACGGTTGGAAAGCCTACGCTATGACTGTTGATGCTTCTAGACGACCAAAACTTATGTTAGTTGTAGATAGATGGCAGCACTTCAAGTTTGTTACATCGGAATACGCAACAAAATTTTGGCATGCAAATTTAGATTTAACGGACGAAGAAAAGAGTATTGCAGGTGATTACTATGATAAATATATATATACTAATATATATGTATATATACTGCATATAAAGAAATAATATTAGGATAAGTAAATTAAATCAAAAACAATAAACTATACTAAAGATGAAAGTATCAATAGATGACCTCTTTATAATATTAATATTTTTTACTATATTCAATATTGAAGGAAATAGTGAAATAGTTCAGTGTATAAATAAATATAGTGAGGTATTTTTTTAATATTATGTTTACTAGTGACGCGTTGTTACCTCTCTTATAATATATTGAATATGGAACTATTTCTAAATTATTTATCCCGTTTTTTTCATTATTTTAGGCCTAAACAAGCGATTAAGCAACCACAATTCTAATCAGGACAACAACGCCAACAACAATAATTACAATAGTAATAACAATAATAGCAATGATAATATTGTTAATAAGTTGCATGTGGCTAATGAGGAATCAATTCAACCTGTTCATGAAGAAATGCTTAGTGCAGAAGTGGCTACTGACGTCATGACTGAAGGACAAATGGATGAAGTAGAGAGTACAGATTACGCAATGGGCTCAGAAGTTAGAACGGCTGAGACTGAGCAGTTAGATTCGATTGAGGGTGAAGAACAAAAAACTTTCATCATCAGAAGCGTTTTCGATCCGGATGTTAATGAGCAAATTTCTTTACACGACGCAATTAAAAAAGGCGTAATCTGCCCTGAAAGAGGTGTCTATATTACAAAAGAAGGAAAGGATATTCCAATTCCAGTAGCCATGTCCGATGGAAAAATTATTGTTGAATTTCAAAAAACAAGAAGGGCAAAAGAGAAGAAATCAACATTGGGAATAATTACACTGAAAACGATCAGGGAACGAGATGCAATTATCGAGCAAGTAAAGGACGTTGAAGCTAATCAGTTCTTTAATAAACAAACGGCAATTACAAGTGGTTTACTTAACGACCAATTAGGATTGTTCTTTAATACTAAAACTGGGACAGAATTAACAATCAACGAAGCAGTTAAAGCCGGTTATATTGTTTTATCGAAGCAGGAGCCGGAAGAATCTGTAGAAGCATACGCAGTTCGAGGAGTTGTAGATAGAAAGAAGGTTAAAGTTATTACATTTTTCGAAGCTGTTCAAAAGGGAATAATTGATAGAGATAGCGGTTTGTTCTTGGATACGAGTAATGGAGACAAATTATACATTGCCGATGCTATAGCCAGAGGATTTCTGAAAGCTAGAAAAGTCGACGATCCAAATAGTTTAGACGTAGATCCATCCAATAGAATGGTTATTGATAAGACAAATCTCATAAAGAAAAAGTTATTAGGCAGTCTAAAAGTAATTAGCGCATTCAAGTCGGGCAATCATTAAATCCAATAATTTTGTTTTTTTTTCACTTATAACTGCAGTAGGCCTAATCAGAGAAGCACCAAAACAAAACTTAGATTTATTATTATTATTTAATGTAATACTATTTCTTTAATTGAGAATCTTAATCTAAATGTCTTCCAAACAATATAGTTCTATATGTAAGTAGTTAATTGAACAGTATAGCATTCTGTAGTCTATCAGTAATGGCTTCTTTTTATATAAAATACAATTGCATAGTGCTAAATATATGACGTCATTCAAAGAAAAAGTTATATAAGAAATATTTCCCTTCAATAGAATTTTTACTTAAATACACGATAAATTGAATGATATTTATTAAAGAAATTCTTTCTTAATCAATATTTCTTTCTATAAATCGATTTATTAATTCTAAATTGAAATTAATAGAAAAAATGTCCTGTGTATAAAGATTTTTTAGATTTTAAAAATGTTGAAAGTTCTGTGGTCTTAATTAAAATAAATTTAATCAAATCGTTATCTTGTTTGGTCTACAAACTGTAAATATCGTTATCAAAAGCATTTAGACTGTTTTTTGTTTTCTAAATTTATTTCGACTATAAGGATGCTTCCTTGTTTATTTTACTCTTTTGGAGGAAATAACACATAATACGCTGGTGGTTGTACAATTTTAGCTTCGTTCTGGGTTTCTATCATTTGTGATGGACTCGTTTCGACGTTAACGACCGAAATATTTCTTGCTGTTTGTTCGTCTCTCTAGTAGGATAATTAGATTGAAGGGTATAATATGATTGTTACTATTTTAAAAATATTACCTGCGATTTCTTCTGACAACACTGAGAAATAATTAAAATGACAAAAATAATAAACAAGAAGACGGCGGCGAAAAATATTGCTGTAAATCTTAAAAGTGATGGTCCCCAAGAAAATATACATCCTGCAGTTCTGAATGATTCATCACGATTATCTCCACAATTATTATATCTGTCACACTGGTAACGATCACTAATGCATTTTCCCGTTAAACTGTATCCACAATTAAACTCGTATCTTGCGCAACGGCTATCTGGTCTAAAAGCAGTTATAATCATCTCTAGCTGTAATTTCTTACGAGATCGAATCTGTATATTCGCAGCTATACCAACATCAGTTTCAAAAGTCTTATACCAACGTTTACAGCCAGGACAAACAAGCCCTAAAATAATGAAACAAAACATAATAGTAATTTTCCTTTGTTCTAAAAAATAAAAGATTAACTGTTATTAATCAAAAGTCCAGTTCCATAAGAGCTATCGCACACGGGCTCCTTATTCAATTGTCTTGAATTAATTATCATTCCGGAAGATGATAGAGATGTAATATTAAAGTTACAATCAAACTGTCCTTTTTTTATATTCAATTTCAAAATGATTGCTTCAGTTTTTAAGGCAGCCATATCAAAATGTCTTAAATTACAATTATTTCTATCCAGAGTTATCTTTTCTGTTTATAAGATGTTTTCATTAATAGTAACAATAGTAGTTAATTAATAGAATAATAATTCTTTACCGTAATATTTTGCTCCTTGAATTTCAATAACAAATGGTAAAATACATAGAAAAAAAGAGTACATTTTGGATGCCATTTTTTCGGCTATTACTTAAATTTGTTGTCGTATTATAAAATGATTTAATGATTCTGAAATGTTATCAATTACATTGATATCTTATCAATATATATAAAAAATTATCATGATTTCTATTGACAGAACAATATATTTTCACATTGTTTATCATTTATGTTTAATTTTATCTAAGCTTTTATTATATTTTGTTTTGTTTATGTATATACTGTGTAGTGTGCAACGTATATACAGTACCATATAATTGTCAGTCAAATGTTAGATCTTCTGCTTCTTTTATAGTTTTTATTACAGGGCTCCACAATGGCCAAGGTCACCAAAATTAATTGTTCATTAATCGAAACGTTATTAGAAACAGTATAGTAATTTTATATAAACTTACTAACTAATATCTTCATCATAGGCCTTCGCTTTTAAAATAGAATAAATTTAAATGCTAATAAGATAGTTTAAATATTAAATTATTCTTTCCTTGAATAATGTCTTTCCCCATTGGTCAAAAGTATAGCCAATAAATGAGCATTTTTAGCTAAACGAAATGAGTATTGGAGGAGAGAAAACATTCTATTTTAGCAAACAAACGCGAAAAAAAAACTTAAAAAAGTAATATTGTAAATTTGTGAAAAAGGAAGAAACTTATAAAAAAGACTTTTCTTTTCAAAGAGGAAAAGATTCCTTTGCAGTAAAAAGTTATTCTTACTGCGTAATATTAAACTTGGTGAGTTAACTGTAACTTTTTTTAAAGGCGATTAATACCATTTAGCAGGTTTTTTTTTTTCTTTTATCCTTGCGCCTCACCAATGTCAACTAGTTTATAAATGACTTCTTGTTTCAGTTAACAGGTTTTTGAGCAATATAATTTACTATGCCATCCATTGAAGATATAATTAATGTACTTCTTGAGAGTTCAGAGTTATATAATAATGCTAGTTCATATTCTACTAATCCCTGCTTGAAACATCGAAAATGGTTTTGGTTCTTAGTTACATCTGGAAGTACTTTTGGTACTGGAATGATTCTAACATTATTATATAATCTAATACACTTGTTCGTATGTAAACTTAATGAGTGGAAAAAGAGAAGAAACGATCCAGACGTCTACTTTGCATCAACAAATAATGAAATCGAGAGAATAAGTTTTGCAACGTCACTAAAAATGAGAGCGCAATTAGTTATTTCAGGCCAAACTGTGAAAGGAAGAATACTAGTAAGTAACATTATAAAAATAAATATGTATAATATATAAGTATAGATTGGTATCATCGCCTTATATATATATATATATAAATACATGCATTATTCCGAGCATTTTACAAATGTCAATAGATTTTCTCAGCTTTTGATAAAGCTTTGATCTTTATAGCTTGACATAATTTGCCTATGATAATTTCGACATTGTCCATTTAGTGTATGTATGAAACCCCTGTTCAATTCTATTATATATACTGTATATATATATATTTATATATAATTACTTTTATAGTGTTGTTTATTTCCCTCTTTTTTTGTTTTATAGATAAGTTTATCCTGCATGTTCAGCATTGGATCGTTAATTATTTATTTAATTGATGAATCGTTGTAAATATCCCCCTTTTTTTTTCTTAATAATTATCTATCTTTATTAATTCTTTATTTAAAAAGCTAAAATACTTGTTTTTTTATAATTGAATAAGATCTGGCGAATCTCCGGAAACTTGCCTAACATTTGCAGAAAATCTTCGACAGAAAATAGATGTCTGCTTTCATTGTTTCTTCCTAATTTACTTTTTTATTCGGGTATGTGTAAGTTAAACCAAAATTTTTAATTAAACTTTAAATTCTTTAAATTTTTTTTGTATTAAATTAATTTTTATTAAATAGTTTGTTGCCGCTGATTGTAAATGGGCTTTTTGGTTAAAATTACATTCTATAATTGATATTTGTACCATTCCGCCAATGTTTTTATCAATTTACTTGAATCGACAATGGCTAGGTTAAATTTATTGTTATTACCAACAAAGTTACTTATTCTTTTTACTTTAACTAAAAGGTTTAAGGTTTATGAGAGCACTATGGATAATGACTGTACCAAAGATATTGAAATACATGAATATTTTACATTCAAGTAACGCTATTCATAGAGCTCAGTTAGTTGGTTATCTCGTTGGAGTATGGCTGGCTTCGGCCGGTTTTGTTCACCTTGTTGAAACGTCTGGAGATCCATTTAAAGATTGGAAAAATAGACAACAATTGAGTTATTGGGATTGTTTGTATTTTCTTGTAATAACAATGTCAACTGTCGGATACGGCGATGTTACTTGTACAACTGACATTGGAAAATTATTTATTATGGTCTTTATTATTGGTTCAATTTATCTATTCGCTAGAAACATTGACGTCATCGTACAAATTGTCGGAAAAACTGGCATGTATTCAGGCCAATATAGAAAACCAGCAGGCGTAGGGTAAAGATGACTATCACTATTATTAATATTTTTATTACTATATTGTTCTATTGTAATTAATTAATAGTAATTATTTTTACAGGCATATTGTTATTGTAGGTTCATTAACTTATTATTCCGTTAAGAACTTTGTTAGTGAATTCTTTTTGAAAGATTGGCAAAGTAGAAATATTACTCTTATATTTCTTGATAGGTATAAAGTTATTGTTTTTTTTGAAAAGTTTCTCTATCTATTTCGAAATTCATAAATCTTCCTTCTTTTAAAGAGAAAAACCTGATTTAAGGACAAATGCGCTATTTAAAAAGTACTTTACGAATGTAAAATTTTTTATTGGTACGCCAATGAATTCAAACGATCTTGAAAGAGTTAAGGTTAATAATTTCAAGTTAAAATTATGTTATTAATATATATCATTATATAAAGTTATAGCCGAACAGTGAGAAATTCTATTTTATTTAGTTGAAAGAAGCCGACGCCTTCTTAGCATTAGCTAATCCTCAAGCTGTTGATAGAGACGAAGAAGATGCTTCTAATATTTTAAGAGTAATAGCTGCTAAGAACTTTCATCCTGAAATAAGAGTTATCGTTCAGTTGTTAAGTTATGAAAATAAAGCATATCTTATTAATTTAGCACCCTGGAACGAATACGATCAAATTATATGCGAAGATGAAGTTAAGCTTGGTTTTCTGGCTCAAAGTTGTTTAGCACCTGGATTTTCTACATTAATCGCTAACTTATTCGTACTTAAAAAGTCTAAAAAAGTTTGTTGTGTTATCCTAATTCGTGTAAAGTCTTAAAAAAAATTCTATTTATTTAATTATATAGCAAAGGTCAAATCACGTAAAAGAAAAGAGTAATTGGCGATCGAGTTATATAACTGGTTCAAATATGGAAATGTGGACGAGCGAATTTTCAGAATCATTCCATGGCTGTACATTTCTAGAAGCCATAAAGTATATATATATATAAACACAAAAATATGTTTATATCATTATTTATCATATTTTTAAAGTATATGCTATACTCACCTGGATTTATTACTTATTGGAATAAAAGCACCAAATAGCTACGGACAAAAAGGAATAATAATGAATGCAAGTAGTAAATATACAATTGATGAAAATACTAAAGGAATATTTATATGCCATTCTGGAGATTATTTACGAAGTTTATTAAATTTTTGTAAAAAATGCCATAACCAATCGAATGATAAAGGAAATGAAACTAAATGCTCTTGTAAATCTAAAGGTTTGCTGCTCTACTGAAAAATCAATTAATTCTTATAATTAGTATTGTTATTAGTAATTTACATTTAATAACTTATAGAGAGAGTTAGATCACATTCATCGCACATTTCGCCTAACCCAAGACATAGTCAAACGAATAAGAAGATATTAAGTAAACAAAAGAGAATTGAAGTCTCTGCAATGTAAGTCTTATAATTTACCTGTTAATTTCACTATAAACATTAATTACCCATATTTTGCTTTTTTGAATCTTTAGATCTGACGTATGTGACGATGATATTCCCAGTGATATTTATGACTTTACAGGCTTATTTCATTGGTGCGAAGAGGTTCCCTTTGAAAAAGCTTTATGGGTAAGTAGTTGTAAAAAGAAGTCATACTAATTTCATTAAAATTCTAATTTAAATATTTATTAAGAAAAGATCTAATCTCAACTTTCGAGATATAAAAGGTCATATAGTTGTTTGCGTCTTTGGTGGTAATGATTCAAATACAATAGGGTTATGCAATTTTGTGATGCCCTTAAGGAATAGTACATTCTTGAGGAAAGATTTAAAAAGTATTGTATTTGTTGGAGATGAAAACTTTTTAAGGAAAGAATGGGCTACCTTAAAAAATTTTCCTAAGCTTTATGTAAAACCGGTAATGTTAATTATTTAAATTTATTCATAGTTTAACTATTGAAGTACACATTTGGAAAACATAATTACAGGGCTCTCCGTTGCATCGATCTAACCTAAGGGCAATAAAAGTGAATTCGTGTAGTATGTGCGTAATACTGAAAACAGATAAAACAGTTGAAGATATGATTCTGGCTGATAAAGAAACTATTATATGTACCCTGGGTATAAAGTCAATGAAATTCTACAAATGGGCCGACCTGTGGAAGACTAAAGGCAATGATTTGCATATGACTGGTATAAGAGGTAATAACACCCATTATACAAGTATTTATCATATATATTAATCAATTATTCTTTTATAGAAAGTATTGCCTCTTTAGAATCTACCCAAACAAATGAATCTGATATAAGCGAAGATATAGATTCAAATGATACTGATCTTGAAACTAAATTAACTAGAATATTCATATTAGAAAGGTTTAAGAGCACGGAAGACAAGAAAGATATTCAGAATAAAAGTCTATATTATATATATATATATATATATATGCAGTAAAATATGAAAATCATATATTTAATAATTCTTTTATCTTCTTTAGAATCTATACATCAATTAGAATTTTCTGGATCTCATATACCTCTTATAACCGATTTAGGTTGGGAATAAAAAATATGGGAGATATACTTTCTCTTAAAATATTTCATCTCTTTCCTCCATTTTTCTTTACCTGTTTTCATTTCAGAATACGATTCAAATGTACGATTTTTAGATTTGGATAATTTTCAAGATCCTAATTTACCATTTAGACTATCATTACCTTTCGCTTGTGGTAGTGTTTTTACATCATCGTTACTTGATTCGTTGATATGCGCGGTAAATATTGCTATTTTATTACATTTAATTGCTGTGCGAGGTACATGATCCACAATAGACTCTATCTTTTACAGACATATTTCAATCCTGACGCCATGAATATAATTAAAATCCTATTAACTGGCGCAGTCAAACCGGAATTGGACCAAATGATGGCCGAAGGTATTGGAATTGTAAAAGGAGCTGATAACATCCCATTACAATCTACCAGAAATCGATGCCGTGTTAATCAAATTGCGATGACAGAAGCTCTTCTCTATTCATTCATTGGCCAAACTTATGAGAAGATGTTTTGCTCCTTACTCAATAACAAATTTATAATATGCTTGGGATTGTATAGAAAGTTAAATATACTTGACAAATGCGGATCATACGAACGATTTGTCATCACAAATCCACCTAAATCCTTAACCCTACATCCAAATGATTTAGTAAGATTTTCTTAAAATTGTAATTGGTTTTCTTACATTTTCTTTTTAATTATTATTTTTAAGGTTTATTGTTTAGTTCCGTTTGAAAAATCAAACGATTCTTTCGACTTCGATACTAGTGAAGAGACAGTTAGTTAAAGAAAAAATTTCAAGTTAGTCTTCAACTACAGATTGTTTCCTTTTAATATAGATAAATGAATAAATACTTTACCATCTAATATATACTATTCAATGTAATATATTAATATACTGGTGTTTCATTATATGAAATATAATTCTTTTAATTAAGAAAGGCTTAAATATAGGTCTTTGTAATTTGTATTATGTTATTATATAATAATTTCCTATTATTAGTAGTAGTTTATGAAAAAAAATATTCTCATTGATCTCTATTCGTAGGTGTTTTAAATTTATCGTCCAGGAAACATAATAAATACATTGTTACAAAACTATAGGTGTATTACTTTAGTTGGATATCGAAAAGAATAAAAATTAAATCAGAGAATAGCTTAATATAAATAGAATATAACAAATGTTAAAAAGAAAAGATTTGAAGGTAGTTTTCTATTCGCTTCTGATCCTAACATATTTGCTGGAGGTAAAATTGCTACATTGCAGTATGATTCTGGACAGCACATGTAACAATTTTCTTCTTCTAACCTATTCCACAATTCGATTACTGTATCAGAGTGAGGTTCCATATCTTCTTGTGTTACATCTGGTCGATCGCTATTAGGAGAGATAAAAACAATAGATTTTATGTCATACAATATCACTTTATATAAAGCTTACTTGTTTACTGTATCAATAAGATATTTGCTTAAATGTGTACATAAATCCGACTGTTTCTGCGTACATTCAGCCTTTTTAGCGCATCCTTTCTCAAAGTTATATACTCCATCTTTCTTTCCAAGTCTATAGATACAAGCAGTTTCAGTTGCTTGGCAAGCCACTGGTACTCCTCTACATTTGAATATATCATTAATATTTGTAACAGTGTGTTTACAAATAGAGCAGTACATTTCTGTAAAAAGCGTAATTAAATTCATTTTTAGTAGATATAGTATAAAAAGAATTAAATGAAAAAGAAACCTTCACATTTTCTATTTGAACAAAATTTGTGCTCGTAATTTAAAAATTCTCGCTTTATTGTACTAGAACCATTAGCATTATTGACAGAATCATCTTTAAGAGTACATAATCGCTCTCTTGTTTGAATTCCCATTCCACAGTCCTTATCACATTCACTCCATAGTCCAAATTCTCCGCAAGTTTTTGTTAAAGAACATTTTTCAATTTGACACGTTTCTATAACATAACCGTTACCTATACAATCGCCTCCGCCCCATTGAGGAGGTGGGCTGTCGCATAGTCTTTGTTTAATTCTTATTCCAGGGCCACAAGTCTTGTCACAGGTAGACCAAGCGCTCCATCGACCCCATTTTCCGTTTACAGCTTCGCCACATTCTCTATCTTTACACACCTCGACTATTTCATTAGCTCCTTCGCAATCTTTACCATTTATAGGCGTTGGATTATCGCACTTTCTAGTTTTTGTTCTAAGGCCCTTACTACATGTTGAACTGCATGGAGACCAAGCTGACCACAATCCCCAGTTACCATCTCTAACTGAACAAGCCCCCTCCTCACATAATTGAACTTCGTTCACATTACCCTCACAAGCCTTACCTCCATTCAATGGTAAAGGATTATTGCATAAACGTGATCTCGTTTTCACTCCTGTACCACAAGGAACTGAACAAAGTGACCATCCGTTCCACCCACTCCACTGCCCATCACTTATAACTAAATTAAACAATACCTTCACAAAATCTTTTTGGTTTTATATAATTCACTTACTTAAGTCACATTTAAATCCGGTGAAGGGCAACTTGCACAGGCATTTATAACTCCCTATATTGTTTACGCACTCTCCGTTATTCAAACATGGTTCTTCTTCACATTCATCTTTATCAAATTCACAACTAGTACCCTTAAAACCACTCGGGCATAAACAGTCTCGACTACCAGGTACTTTCTCAGTGCACACTCCACCATTAAGACAGGGATTGATCATACACTCTTTAATTTCTACATTTAGATACTTAAATATAAGTAAATATACAGTATATACAGTCTATGTGTATGTATATCTTATTATGAAAAATTTGAAAATACCTCTCTCACAAACTATTCCAGAATAACCTGATAAGCATACACAAGTCCAAGAATTGATACCATCTACACATTCACCTCCATTCTTGCACTCTACGCTAAAGCAATCGTCGATGTCTTTAAGAAAAAGGTGTTTTCTTAATTTTAAATCAGCTATTTCTTAATGTTTGATAAAATTAAATAAAGACAAACTTTCTGCGCAATCTTTTCCTGTAAAACCTATTGCGCATTCGCAAGTATATGAATTGGCTCCATCTAGGCATGTACCTTGATTTCTACACGGTTTTCCAGCACAATCATCAAGATCTAGAGGAAAATAAAATATCTTTAATCCGTATAAAAAGTATTTTAATATATCATTGCTTAATTATACCTAATTCACAGCGCTTTCCTTGAAATCCTGGAGGACAGGCACAAACATAATCGTCAATATTAAATTCCTGGCATGTACCGCCATATAAGCAAGGATCACTTTGACATTCCGAAAAGTCTGTAGTAGCAAAAGTAATTTGTTTAATTATTCATATTTGATGAAAATAGATATATATTACCTTCATCACAGTTCTTTCCTGTCCAACCACTTTCACAAAAACACTTATAATCTCCAATATAGTGAGTACAGTTGATGGCATTTACGCACGGATTCGATAAGCATTCATCGTAATCTGAACAAATTAATAGTTAAACTAACAACATTATAACCTATAACTTTTACCGCTTTGACAACGAGATCCAAAATATCCAGATGTACATTCACACTGAAAAGCATTAACCATATCAATGCAGGATGCATCATTGAGGCAAGGATCTGATGCACAGTCATCTATATCTAACAATTAACATTGATTTTAGTTCGATAATTGAGGTAATTTATGAACAATTTACTAATTTCGCATTGTTTTCCTGCATATCCCGGATTGCAAGAACACGTATAATCGTTAACTCCATCCTGACATGATATAAATCTATTCAATACACAAGGTTGACTTGCACAATCATCGATATCATTATCGCAATTCATCCCATCATAACCAGCAAAACAGACACATCTATAAGCATAACTTTCATCAAAACAATCTCCGTTTACACAAGGATTTGAAGCACATTCATTTATGTCAGCAATTAACACACTATTTTCACAAGTAAGCGCAGAAACGACATAATTAGCTTTCTCAGATGAGCTTCCCATATCTCCTCCTCTAACTTCCCTAAGTGGTATGAGCGTCTTGTCTGTAAACTCTCTACTATCTTTATGCCATGTTCCTGCATTGGAATCACATTTGCATTCGCCATCACTATCACAATTATCGGAGAGAATACAAAGCGGACATCCACCTTGAAACAATGGAGCTGTCAATCTATGGACAGAAAAATCATAAAAACTTAGAAACCAATCTCTAGCAGTAACTCTATAACAATTAAATTCAAAATATTGTTTGCATAGATGTGAAGAATTCTTTAGAGCTTCTATTTGACGATTAGAAAACGGTGTGTATAGAATTGCTCTTTTATATCCTGCTGTTGGTTCAATATTTGTTTTCCCAGCATCTATCGGATCTACTCCTATATTTGGTATCATTTTAGTAATAGTCACATTTTCATTAACGAATTCACAATAAACTTCTCCGGCAGTGTCGCATACTTTGACATAGTACTCTCGATTTAGGGTCAAGCCAGTATTCAAATCGATAATATCGTTAATGACGTCATGAAAAAAGCATGTTCTTGTATCTGAATACCAGCTAATGGAGGTACAATTTGCAGTTGACAAACAAAGATCCCCACATTCTTTTTCATTAGTGAATTGTAATGTATATAAAGATGTAATATTATCATTTTGAGCTAAACCGCTAAGTACTTGTTCCATACGACAGGGTTCAGCAGTTTCTACCAAAGTTAATTTATATAAAGCATTCGTAGTAAATCCCACAGACTTCAAGTGAAGACAGGTTGTAGATTCACCATTTTCACAGAACTCTCCTGTATAAATACCTTGACTATCACATTCGCAAGTATATTTGGCAACGCCAGGTCCGATAAACCGTGTATTCGTGCAATTGCCACCATTCTTACAAGGAATACTAGCACAGTAGTCTGTGGGAATATTACACAGGGAACCGGTGAAATCTGGTGTGCAAGAGCAGTCAAATGATCCAGTTAATCCATCTCCAGAACAGGTTGCGTTATTGAAACAAGGATTAACTCTACATGGATCAGAATCTGTTCAAATGAATACAAGAGATGTATATCATGCTTTATTTCTATTATTTCTCTTTATAAGATGGTCAATTTTAAAATAATTATACACTTACAATAACAACCACCAATTTCTAACTTTATACATATTCTATTACTCCATTCTAAAGGGATAAGTCGTAAATATCTACCAAATTCGTTCAGTGGATGTGCTTTGAACTTAGTCGGCGAAGAAGGGCCAGCATAGTCAGCTTGACTAGAGTCTATCCATGTCACTTTGTCAAAGCTGAATTGTAATTTGTATTTTGTAACATAGTCAGATGATGCAGGAAGTGCTTTTGCAGCAATACCAACAATGGCTTTTTCTTCAAGTAAATCTATTTCTAACCACTGGTCTGTATCTGATATATTTGCACACCAAGCAAATGCCTTAGTTAACTTAGCAAAATTTGGTGAATAGGTAGTCCCTCCTTCCACTGCTGAAGTAGAAGCCGTAAACGCTACATCTGATAAAGTTGCAAGAAGATGATCTTGACATGTATATTTCAAACCTTTACAATATGGTATATTGGATCCACAACCGTACCAATAATCGAAATAATCATCCTCATAGCACCAAGGATAGTCATATGCATCCGGGTTTCTACAATAATTTGACGCGTCTCTCACATTGTCTTCTGGAAATCGATTTGCTTCATAACCTGAATGTTCCCAATAATAACAAGGATAATCGTCATCGTCCAAATAACTATTGCCACCATATCCATCAGCAGCTTCGTTCAGTTTACAATCCTCTAATATACAGTAGCCCCACTTGTTGTCGTCTGCTAAATCTTCAACTACGCCACACCAAGGTGCAGACTGACCACTAGTCTGACAACCGAAATAGAGATCGTTTCCTTCATGAAAAGGAAATTGACAATTAGCATCATTCCCAGTAGCAAGAGATATAAGAAAGGTGTTGGGACCATTGTCCGTGTCTACTCCGCTATGAGTTCTAACATGCGAATCTAAAAATGAAATGTAGAGAAGAAATGTTTAAAAAATATATAGAAATAGAAAATGAAGAGACCTCCAGCTAGTATATTTTCTATTAGAATTATTAAAACGAATTTCACTAGCAACATTCTCACTCTCCGTAGCATATAACTTTAACAAACGAAATTATTACAACAAATTCTTCAATTATACAATAAAATGTAATTTGAAATTGAACAATATTTTAAAAATGATCTCAATTTTCATTTTTATTGAACAAAAGGGGTGAAAATATTGAACGAAAAAATGCGTAAGAAAAATGACATATATTACATAATTTTTTAAATATAATATTAAATATAACAGATCTCTTTCATTTCGCAAGAAATCAAGTACGTTTAGTAAGAATTACTTTAAATGGACTAGAAAATACAGGATAGAGATCAATAACCCACTTTTGCTACTCTTTGCCTATTTAATATAAATATGATAATATATATATATATATATATATATATGTAGTCGATGAGTACATCGCCTAAATTTGTCAGCGAGCCAAATTATCGTTACGCTTATATAATTTTAAAACCAACTGACTTTTACCCGTTATCATTTCTTTGTGTACGTGTATTACTCATAATTACTGCTATATTTACTAGTATATACCTCAAATCTTTAACGCGTATATTGGTAAAGTCGGTGAAAATAGCTTTAACCTTCACTCGCTACTCATTCATCGACTACATATATATATATATATACTTTGTAACTAACAAGTCTCATTTAAAAGTTAAATTAAAGCTGACATAGAAAACTAATAACTAACAAAGTTCCCTGAATGAATATCATCAGAAAGTATATAATCATTGACAGGTTTTAATTGAAAATACTATAAGACTGCTTAAGCAAGTACAAACATCCGATAATAATATTATGAATCATCAATTTCATTTTAATAATTAAATAGGTTGCACAAATTGACCTGGATTAAAGCCAAAATAATAAACTCCGCTTGTCGGATGTAACATCTAGCAATTGTAACATTTAGATTAGAAACATCTTATAACATTAGAAATCTGCTCTTCCAGGACGGAGAAGAAGCAGGGATGGCAAAAAGGACCAAGGGAAAGAGTTTGATATGCAGTATGTATACAAATCGAAAGGAAAGTTTATCCAGTTATATGTTTCATAAATTCTAGGCACAATCTCTCTCATTCTTCAGTTCTTTTCTCTCTCTTTCTCTCTCTTTCTCCCTTCCCCTATGGATAGTTATTTAGATCAATATTTTTTACTTTTAATTTATATCCAGATTTTCGTTTCAAAAACAACATCTGCTTTTTTTTCTCTCTCTCTTAGAAGACTCTTAAAACTATTAAATGTTTCTATCTATATCTATATATTCAGCATATACTAATTATACATATTTTGACTGATATTAACAAGTTTTTAACAAAATAATTGAAATGAATTGAATAAATGTTCAAGTTACTATTATGCAAATTAAAGACAGATTAACTAGATTTCAAAGTTTAAGTACCATTGGTCGCTAATTATTAAGAGATTATTTACCTAATATACAACTATATTACTAAACTACTGGGAAGAGATGCTTCCAACTTCCAAATAATTTATTTATTTATCATATTTCTCTGAAAAATGAATATAATACACTTATTAGATCTTTGTTTTTAATAGTTTCCGGTTAAAAATACTTTGGGCATTTGATATAAAAGTATAACAATACGAATAATTTTGTCTCCAGATGGCGCGTTAGATCAAATACACTAATACAATCCATTGAGCATTCTACCAGGCCAAATCTATATGGCAGAGCCGTTCAAAAGAATTTAACCCAAAAATTGATTAATCAGGCAATATACGAAATATCCATGGCAGCTGATGAAAAAGGAATATTTAAATGGTTCTTAGTAGCTGCATCGTTTATTGTTCAATCAATAGCTACTTCAATTGTTTATTCCTATGGAATTTTCTACATAGAATATTTGAAAAAGTTTGAATGGAACCATTTAAGAATTTCTTGTATAGGTGCCATGCTCATGTCGTCTGCTGTTTTAGGCGGTAAGTTTTTACCATTGAAAGATCTAGCAGAAGAGAACGATTTTCTTTCGTTAATAGAAACTATATGCATTTAAATTCTGATTTTAATTACTTGAAAGTAATGTACGAATAGAATTCAAAAGTAGCTAAAGCCATAGCAATAGTATCAATAAAGCAATAAATATCATATTAAACAATCAACTAAAGCGTATAAAAGACGTCAAATATTTCATTTATTATCTGTGCTCTAAACAATTTTTTTTCCCCCAACATTGTCCTATTCTACTATTTTGAACAAAGGATTATTGGTGTAGCTTAAAGTAGACAAAGCAAATAATTATACTTTATCAATTTCATGAACAGAAAAACAAATCATTTTCTATGAGGTCAGCTATTTCTATTCTAAATACTTGAAAATAAAACTTTCTCACCTTGAAATATTCTATTGCGTAATACATAACAGAATAATTATAATAATGATATACTATAACAAAACCATACAATTAATATAAAAATTGCTTTGAAAGACTAACAATCTATACAATATATATGATATAACGATAATTATATGTTACATCATCATTATTCAATTTTGTACCAATTTCTTTTCTGTTCTAATATTCTCTTTATATAGAAAAAAGCTACACATACTCACTAAAACACAACCAAAAGGAAAGAAAAAATGTAGCATTATAGATAATAACAGTATTTTGTAAAATTTGTACAGAGATTTCATGGGAAAAAAAAAGAAAAGGGAAAATCCTTTAGAACTAATTAAGCTAGGCCTAAGTCTAAATACAATGCTGTTTATTTCAAGTTTATATGTTAATATTAAATATACATATACTTTATATATATATATATATATATATATATATACTGTATCTGTATATAAATGCTACACTAGTATAATTAAATAACAAAAAACGAAAGCATTTAAGTTGATTTGTACTTACGGCAAATAATCAAGATAAAGTTGCAAGTACATCTACCGACAGCGCTTAAATTAGCCTATACTAGTCCAAACTGCCCTTTTATCTCTAAGAACTTTATTTTTAGATAGGAGTCATCTGATTATTTATTCATTCTATTTGAATTTTGCATTACATAGGATGAAAATTTCGATTATCTTGGTTTATATATTTTCTTCGCTAGAGAACCTGGATAATATTGATGAAATATTTCCATATATAGCTTAGAAAAGGTATAAATTCACTCTTATGGTTAGTTTTCAGAGAGCTTAAAGCTTAAATGAATAAGATATACAAGTTAAATTGATAGACAGATAGATAGAAAGATAGACACAGTATACACATAGACAGCGTTCATAAAAAAGATAGTAGCAAGAGCAAAACTGCCGAGAGTAAGCTGGCAGATTGCAAAAGAGAAAAAAAAACACATCAGAAATATATAACAGATATAAACAACATGGAAAATGTATATCTATGGTGTTCAAATCAGCTGTGTTGAAAAATATTAATTTTTTATTTAGGCCTGCATCAAAAAAAAAAATAGACTAATATTAATTAGCTAATGTATTTTTATAATATTAGTAATAATATTCTTATGTTAAACGATTATAAAGAGTTAATAACATGCAAGTAATATAAAATAAATTATTTGAATAAATTAAAATAATGAATGTAAATATACTTTTCTTTCTAAGAATAAAGTAAGACTGTATTTAATATACGTATACTGTATATATATATGTATATATACATTGTTTTTACAATCTAATATAGAGGAAAAATAAATATAATGCAAACTATAATCTGCTAATAATATTACTAATGCAGCACAGCTGTTATTTTAATATTAAAGGAAGATTACAAGCATCTTTATACTTATTTTTGAGGTAAAACAAGAAAAACATATAATCTTTTTCTATATAAATCATAAATAGAATAGTAGTATATAAAAGTAAATGTATACATACAGTAATAGACTAATAGATACATATATATATATAGGTCACATTAAATTTATAATTGAATTATAATATTTCAATACTTTTTTGCTATACATAAAAAAGCATATACAGATAGGTGAGGCGAAGTTGATATTTGTCTATCATTAGCTAGATAATTAATTTCTATACTAATTGTATTATGCCTAAAACCTTAAATATGCTTCTGAATTAATCATTTGTGTCATAAAAAGAGCATAAATTATATAACATAATATATATATATAGTATGTATATATATAAACTATATGATATATACACATATATAATTTTCTATATATACTGTATATATATATATAAATTATTTAAATGCATTGCAGTATTGGTCATTTAAATTGATCTCTTTTCCATCATTTATATAACTTATCGATAAAGAAAATTTGTTAAAGGTTAATTAGTCTATGTAAAGTTAACTAATTAATTCCAACAGGATTACCAGCCTGCGTACTAATTAATAAATTGGGATGCAGATTAACTGTTTTATCTGGTGCATTGGTTTCGGCAATTCCTTTTGCCCTTTCGAATTTCTTATTGGAGAATTTTTATTATATTCTCTGTATAAGGGGAATGGTCCTAGGTGAGAAAAATTGATGAAATTATCAATAATAATCAATATTACGAGTTTTAAATGTATAGTTATTAAATATAATTATCTAACGGGCTTATTCTTTTTTCAGGATTGGGTCTTGGCTTGACTATTCTACCTTCTATTCTTATTGTACATGTCTATTTCGAAAAGAGTAAAACACTTGCTCTTTCTCTAATAATCAGCGGATCAAGCTTGGGATTAGCAATAGTTCCTTATGCTATTCTTAGATTGAAAGAGCACAGTACTATTATTAATAATTATTCATTAATGGGTATATGTCTGCTGATGGTACCTTGCAGTTTATTTATGACTGAAAAAGGTAAAACTACATTAAAACTAACGAGAGGAATGATGGATCTTTTCGATCCAATGCTAATACATCATCAAGCGTTTTTGGTTCTGGTCGCTTGTAATTTTATATGGAGTCTGGGATCCTCTATCTTTTTCATGTATCTGCCAGTTCAGGGATATTTAACCGGAAATGGATTAAATCGTAGCGTGTACATAATAATCGCTATTTCTATAACAATTTTCATCATCAAACCAATGTTAACTATATTTAACCAGGCTGCAACTTTTGATCATGGTACAGCTTTTGTCTTTACAATTGTACTACCAGTTTTATTTACAACATTCTGTGGCGAAGCCAGCGTGTCGTACACTGGACAAATGGGTTACTCAATACTATTTGGAATACATGTAGCATTTTGGACTACGTACACCAGGTCAGCTAGCCAAGAGTTAATTGGTCAAGAGAACCTGGCTCTAGGCAAGGGCTTTATAATAACAAGCATCGGACTTGGTCTACTTGTTGGGCCAATATTTGCTGGTCTTTTATTAGATATGCTTAAAACAACATATTATGTCTTTTATCTCTCAGGAATGGCACTGATTTTAGCAGGTGTCATAATGCTTATTGCTAAATTAACAGGTTGTACGAATGTTTATAGTGACAAAAAAGTAGATATAAGCGAAACAATAGCATTTGTCGATAATGCAAGCTCTACTAATTCAACTCCCACCGAGAGTATTACCTATAACGACCCATTGGAGAGCGCTTTGTACGAAATTATGGTGTCAGGTTCAACAGTTCAGGCAAGAAGGGCAATAGCAACTTTACACATTGATTCAAAAAGAACGGATTCAAGCTTTAAAATAACAAAAGCTTAATTTATTTATAGTAAAGACACAATATGTTTGTAGAATTATAAACAAAATTTTTGGCCTATTTTGTTGAAATTACCAATTAGCATTAATCTATTATAATTTGTCTTTAAAAGCAACAACAACCAACAAAATATAAACATTTTTCACTTTTTTTCTCATACAAAAGGTTCCACTTTGTTTTACAACCGAAATTTCTAACCTATATGTATTTATATGTTATTTTGACGTCATATTTATATATGTTATTTACTTAAAAAAGGAAATGTTTTATCCAAAAGAAAAGTTAAACGAAGGAAACTTAACATAAACAAAACAAAAATAAATAACAATGGGAAAAGAGTTGAATTTGTGCCCATAAAGAAATTATTTATTACACAATTTGAAAAATCTGCAGATTTTATCCAAAAAAAGGAGTTAAACATTAAACTATCGAGTTTTGGAATGAAGTGATAAATAACTGCCACTCTTTTATTTAATAATTCTAGTCTTTCAACTATTTGTAAAATTTTTTTTTAGACTTTCCAGTAAAATTCTATACTCTTTACGGCTTTAGAATAATGTATATCATTATGTATTTTAACTAACGATATATGATCTTTTCAATAATAACATGTTCTCCGTTTCTGTATATAGATATATATTTTTATAAAATTTTATTTATCAATAAATGACTTAGTGTTTTAAAAAACTTTTATAACCTTCTTTTTTCAAACCGGAAGTATTGTCGATAAAAATTAATTCCCGATTCTTCAGATAAGCTTTCTTTATTATAAATTCGAATATTCAATATTTTAATAAAAGTGTCTTCATTCGTTTGAAAGAAACTATTTTTCCGAATAATTAACTTTCAACCACTTTCTTCAATTACTTCAAATACCTAAAAAACATATTCAGTATTTCCGTTACGTTAAAATAGTTTCTCAGCACTTTTCTCCTATAAATCAATAGAAAAACCATACCACAAACAGAGAAAATAACAATTAATAATAAACGCCGTACAATTAACATTACATATGAAAAATTTCTGAAAATTCAAAAGTCAACTTTCGTATAAGAACCACATTAGTTCAATCCTGATTAAAAACTACAAAAATGAAACAGTTACCCAGCAAAAAGTACTAATACATAATTGCCAAATGTTAATATCCGTCTAAAATTAAAATAAAAAAAAACAGATTGATATACATTATAGGAAAGGCGATTTTGCAACGTAGATAACAAATAAAGAAATCTCTAACATCAATCAGAAAGAATATAAGAAACAGGTGAAACTCATTGAAAATAACACGTCAACTATTAAAATCAATGTGAAAAACCTGGAAAACTAAACTAACATTTAAAGCAAATAAGTGAAGAGTATATAAAGCAATTCATCCACATACTCAATGTCTATTGACCAGCAGAGTCACATAACCAAAAGATACTTCTAGTTCAGTAACAAATTATTGGTAAGAATTTACAAAAAAACTATTCGGATAACAAAATCATACAAACTTTTAATAACTTTATCATTAGCAGGTTTTAACTACTAATAAATATCTCAGCTAGAAATATGTTGCCGATACCTCGGCTTTGCCTTATCTTGCTCTTAGCAGCAACAGCTGGAGCTCTTATATTGAAAAGTCCAACAGACTCTGAAACGGTTGGACGCTCTATCCTGAAAAAAACCATTAGACCAACAAAATATTACAAGACATTTGAATCGAAAACTTACTTCAGAAATGGAACAAATAAATATTTGATCCAAAAAGCTAAAGATGGTAGATACTTCTATAAAATCGGAAGTAGAACCTTCTATGTTAATTACTGGAAATACTCTACCAGTAAGAAAACAACACAGAAGCGTTTTGTTTCTTATAGAAGGTAAAGTAATGCCTCTCTTCCATATCCCATTATTCCCTTTATCGAGTGAAACCTTCAATGATTTCCTCTCATTCCTATACTTCATCTTTCACAGATACTACATCTACGGGGGAAAACGTTACCTTCTACAAAAAGAAGGAAGTAGATGGTTCTTCAGAATTGGAGCTCTCAAGAGATACGTTTCTTTTGGTAACAGAAAAGTCACCTATACAAAGAAAACAATCATCAAACGCTCCAGTTACAAGAGATACATCAGAATTGGTGGTAAGAAATACGAACTCCGCAAATCAAAGAGCGGCCGTTATTATTACATCATCAACGGAAAAGCCATCTACTTGAACAGACGTGGAAAGACTACTGGTGCCAGTATCAGATACATTATGATCGGTGGCGTCAGATACCGTCTATACAAAAATGGCTTGAAATACTACATTTTGAAAAACAACAAAAAGGTTTGGTACACTTCTTCTCAGATCTCATCAATGATGAAGAGCAGCGTCAAATATCTCTACTACGGAGGTATGAAATTTCAATTACGCCTGGAGGGAAGTCGCTATTACTTCATTTACGGAAAGAGCAAACGCAAGGTTTACGTAGACAAAAATATGAAACCAATCGGTCTCGGAAGCAAAACGTTAGTAAAATCATTCCACCCAACCCTTTCAAAACATAACCACGACAATTCATTACAAACCATTCTCTTCCTACAGTTATCTTTTGGGAAGCAAATACAGATACACATTAAATAGAGGAAGCGGAAGATCTTACTACTTCTACAGAGGAGGAAGAAAATACTACACAAGAAACAGAGCCTGTGTTGCCCAAAGAAGAGCTACACCTACACTCAGAATTGGTGGAAAATCATTCTCCCTCACACGTTCCGGAAGTCATTGGATCTTTTACTTTGCAAAGAAGACATACCGTCTCATGAGGTAAATACAATTTGTCACCTTACTGTTTCAATCACCTAACAAATTCAAATAGTCCGCTATACCTATAACCTCTATTTGAACAGAACAACTACTCCAAACACATATAAATTGAACTTTAACGGTAAAAACTACCAAGTCAAACTTTCTTTCGGCGGTCTTACAACACCACCAAGAACATCAATCAGAACCGCATCATTGAGAATCAATGGCAAGAGTTTCTCTTTGAGACCATCAGGATCAAACTACTATTTCCAATATGGAAAGAAACGTATTAATGTCATCCGTGATGTTAAACAAAAGGGAAGATTCTACTTCACACTCAACGGCAAGAAGACGTCATTCAACCTCTTCAGTAGCATCGGAACCATGAGCAGCTACCTCAAAAAGATGGTCATGATCAACAATGTCAAATACCCAATTCAAAAGAAATTCGGCATGTCCTATTACATGTTGAATGGAAAGAAGGTTGTTTACAATTCTTGCAATAGATATTCCATTCCAAGATGCAGCAGAGGATCAAAATTGGTGAAAGGGAAATGCGTCGATATTGACGAATGTAAAACTAAACCATGCAAACATGGAGCTAAATGTGTTAACCAAAGAGGAGGATACAGATGCGCTTGTCCACAAGGAACAGTGTATGACTCACAAGATGGATGTCAAAAGATCCCCGATTTAGGTGAAGGATGTGCTTCCAAATCAGATATTGTCTTCGTCATGGATTCTTCCGGATCTGTTGGATCTCACAATTTTGAAAAAATGAAGAGATTTGTCTACAACATTGCTTCTAAATTCACTATTGGAAAAAACGCCATGCGTGTTTCCGTCGTCAAATACCAATCAAGAACCTACTTGGAATTCAACTTGGACAAACACTCCAGCAAGAAATCTCTCTTGGATAACATTTTGAGAATCAGATACAGAGGAGGTGGTACTGCCACTGACAGAGCCTTGAAATTCACTCGTATGACTGTATTGCCAAAAAGCAGAAAGAACACTCCAACAATCGTTGTTGTAATCACTGATGGAAGATCAAACAACCGCCGCAGAACAATCCAAGAAGCTGATGTGAGTTTTCGGAACACTTCATAGACATTAGCATTAATATATATTTCTATCGTTATATGTTTTACAGAAAATCCTTAAGGACAAATCCGTCAAATTGATTTCTGTTGGAATCGGACACAACTTGGATGCTGGAGAATTGAAAGCCATGGCTTCCGAACCAACAGCAAAGCATTCTTTCGCCGCCAGCGACTTCAATGCTTTGGGTGGTATCTATTTGTCTCTTGCTTCAAGAGCCTGTCAATCTGCATGTCCATCCGGCAAGAAATGCATCAAATGCAGACCAGGATATTACGAATCTGATGGAAAATGCTGTAAGTGTTATAATTGAAGGTCATAGAGAGAGTCACATTGCGATCGATTCACAAACACTACTTGACAAAAATCAATACATACTTTTTCTCTTCACACAGATTACGATGCTTGCTTCAAAGCCGGACGTTGTAGAGGAAATGCTAAGTGTTCGAACAGAAAGAGCAGCTTCGTTTGCGCTTGTCCAGCTGGATTTGTCTACACACGTAACGGATGTGCTAAACCAAAAATCCCAAGTGGTGACAGAATCATTCTCTTCGATGATGGAGACTGTAAAGGAAAACAAAAGACATTCTACTCTGCTTCCTCCAACCTCGGTCCTTTCGATAACACTGCCGAGTCAGTTATGGTCAGTGGAAAGAAAATCTGGTTGTTGTACAACGGCAAATACTTCAGACACTTCTCCTATGCCGCCCGCGCCGGAAACTGTATCAATTTGTCTTCAAGAACAAAGGTCAGCTCTTTGAGACCATATTACGGTCTAACAATCAGATGTCCAAGAGGATACAAGAGAGAAAACAACAAATGTATCGACATCAATGAATGCGAAGACAAAGACATTTGTGTCGAAGGATCGAAATGTATCAATTATGGTGGTGGATACAGATGCTCTTGCCCAATCGGAAACGTGTATGACAAGAGAAAGGGTTGTATTGCTGTTCCAGACATGGGAGATGGATGCGGCGCTGAAGCCGATATCCTTTTCGTTTTGGACGCTTCTGGATCTGTCAGAGCTCATAACTTTGAAGAAGTCAAGAAATTCACAGCCGAAGTTGTAAACAAAATGAAGATTGGAAAGAAAGATGTTCGTGTTGGTTTGATGACATTCGCATCTTCCGTTAGAAATAGATTCTCCTTTGCCAAGTACACAAACAAACAGAGCCTTGTTAAGGCCATCTTGAGCACACCATACACAAGAGGAGGAACCAACACAGCTGCCGCTCTCACTTCTGCTAAGAGAGCGTTCGCTTCAGCAAGAAAGAATGTACCACACATTGCTATTGTTGTCACAGATGGAAGATCTTACAATAAGAGACTCACGTTGGCTGCTGCTAATTCACTTAAAACTGCAAAGGTAACAACATTTGCTGTTGGTGTTGGAAAGAGATTGGACAAAGATGAATTGAAGGCCATTGCTTCCAAACCATTCGACAGTCATTTATTGGAAATTGAAGATTTCGAAGATTTGGTCAAAATTCAACCTAAACTTGCCGTCAAGACATGCGAACGTAAGTAGAATATAGTAGGAGCAGGTTATTTTGTATTTGCAATAAAATTCATTAATAACCTTTACAGAATCCTGCAAAAAGAACTCCTGTTTCACCTGCAAAAAGGGATTCATCAAGAGAGAAAAGGAATGCTTCAGAGACTACTGTTCTATCAACAACATTTGCAAGGGTGGAGCCACTTGTGAACTCACAGAAAAATTCTACGAATGCAAATGTCCACGACGAGGAATGGAATACGACAGACTCAAGGGATGTGTTGCTTCTTCGTTGGATGACGATGATGATGCTGACGATGATGACAAAGAGGAAGATCCAAAGGAAGGAGTCGTTTTCTACTCTGAAGAAAACTTCAAGGGAAAACGTTGCGTTGTCAAGGACGATGTACCAGATTTGTCCCAAATCGGATGTGATAACACTGCCGAATCCGCTATCGTGTTTGGTGGCAAGAGATGGCAACTCTATGATGACGACAAATATGAAGACGAATTGGTCATCTTGAAGCAAGGAAAATACCCAACTTTGAAGAGATACGGTGCTGATGACAAAGTTTCATCTATCAGAGATCTCCCAGAAGACGTTGACAATTGTAAACCAAACCCATGCAAAACAGGAGCAACATGCGCCGATCTCGCCAATGGTTTCAAATGTACCTGCAAAGATGATGATTTCGAATACGATGAAGCCAAAGGCTGTGTACGAAAGATAGTGAAAGAGCCAAGAGAAGGTATCATTTTGTACGATGAAGAAAACTTCAAGGGAGATTTCATCGTCGTTGAAAAGGATACTCCAGAATTATCTGAATTGAAATTTGGAGATAGAGTCGAATCATTGAAAGTTATTGGCAAGAAACATGGGAATTGTACGACAAGGGAGGATATGTTGATCCCATTGCCCGTTTCCCACCAGGAGAATACGACGTAATCAAACCAGGAAACAAGGCCAGTTCTCTCAGAGTTGCACCAAAGACATCTGACTGTAAGTAGACCATTAAAGGATTTACAAATAATCCACAATGAACATATCATTATCACTTGCATCTTTGTAACAGTGCCAATTATTGTGCCAAGAACCCATGTAAACGTGGAGCTAGATGTTTCGGTTTGAAGAAGGGATACCGTTGCATTTGTCCATCTGGACAAAAATACTATAGAACAAAGGGATGTCAAAAACTTTTGACCAGCCCATGTGACAGCAACCCATGTAGAAAGCCAGCTAGATGTTTCCGTCGTGGTTTGACTAGATACAGATGTGTATGCAAGAGAAGTCAATATTATAGCGCAAAGGCTGGATGTGTGTCCAGACCTTGTGCCAGAAAACCATGTGGAAAAGCAAGATGTATCAACATCGGTTCACGTCATAGATGTGTTTGTCCACAAGAAGCATCTTTGATGCTAAAACCAAATCTTGCAAGAGATCTGCTACACAATTGTGCAAGAGAATTCTTGCAAAGGAAAGGCTAGATGTGTATCTCTCGGCAGAAGAATCAGATGTCAATGTGGAAGAGGATTCAGATACAACGCCAAAAAAGGCTGTGTCAAATTCAACTTCAACCCATGCTTGAAGAAACCATGCAAGGGAGCCAGATGTATGAGAAGAGGTTTCAACGGTTATAGATGTCTTTGTAAACCAGGCTTCAGATATTATGGCAAAAAGGGATGTGTGAAATACACAAGACCAAACCCATGCTTGAAGAGACCATGTAAGGGAGCTAAATGTCTCAGAAGAGGTATTGCTGGATATAGATGTGTCTGCAAGAAGGGACTCTTCTACAACAGAACAAAGGCTGTATCAAATACAACAAGAACCATGTTCAAAGAGACCATGCAAGGGAGCCAGATGTTTGAGAAGAGGTCTTTCTGGTTACAGATGTTTGTGCAAGAGAGGATTTAGATACAATAGCAAAAAGGGATGCGTTAAATACACAAGACCAAACCCATGTTTGAAGAAACCATGCAAGGGTGCAAGATGTATGAGAAGAGGACTCTTCGGATACAGATGTGTATGCAAGAAGGGATTCAGATACAACAGAAGAAAGGGATGTATCAAGATGACCAAACCAGTCAACTTGTGCAAGAAGAACTCTTGCATAGGAAATGCTAGATGTTTGACTTTGGGTAGAAGAATCAGATGCCAATGTAAGAAGGGATTCAGATACAACGCCAAATCTGGCTGCGTTAAATACGGAAAGAACCCATGCTTGAAGAGACCATGCAAAAAATCCAGATGCATCAGAAGAGGTATCACTGGATACAAATGTTTATGTAGACCAGGATTCATTTATCGCGGAGCTAAAGGCTGTGTGAAATATAATCCATGTGCCAAGAACCCATGTAAGAAAACTAAATGTGTGAGAAGAGGAAGATTCGGTTACAGATGTCTCTGTAAGAGAGGATTCAGATACAACAGAAAAAGGGATGCGTTAAATACACAAGACCAAACCCATGTTTGAAGAAACCATGCAAGGGTGCAAGATGCATGAGAAGAGGCATTTTCGGATACAGATGTGTATGCAAGAAGGGATTCAGATACAACAGAAGAAAGGGATGTATCAAGATGACCAAACCAGTCAACTTGTGCAAGAAGAACTCTTGCATAGGAAATGCTAGATGTTTGACTTTGGGAGAAGAATCAGATGCCAATGTAAGAAGGGATTCAGATACAACGCCAAATCTGGCTGCGTTAAATACGGAAAGAACCCATGCTTGAAGAAACCATGCAAAGGAACAAGATGCATGAGAAGAGGACTCTTCGGTTACAGATGCGTCTGTAAGAGAGGATTCAGATACAACTCAAGAAAGGGATGTGTTAAATACAACCCATGCTTGAGAAGACCATGCAAGGGAGCTAAATGCTCACACGTGGAAAATTCGGTTACAAATGTACTTGCAAGAAGGGATTATTCTAAATATGCCGACTTGGATGTATCAAGGGCAACCCATGTTTGAGAAGACCATGCAAAGGAAGCAAATGTGTAAGAAAAGGATTGTTTGGATACAGATGTCTTTGTAAAAAGGGATTCGTCTACAACAGAGAAGAGGTTGTATCAAATTGAACAGACGCAATCCATGTTTGAAGAGACCATGCAAGGGAGCTAGATGTGTGAGAGAGAGGACTCTTCGGATACAGATGCTTGTGCAAGAGAGGATTCAGATACAACAGCAGAAAGGGATGTGTTAAATAACAAACCAAACCATGTGCAAAAAGACCATGTAAGAGCGCTAGATGTGTGAGACGTGGTCCTTTCGGATTCACCTGTTTGTGTAAGAAGGGATTCTACTATCAACCAAGAAGAGGATGCTTGAAATACGGCAAGGTCAATCCATGTGCCAAGAAGCCATGTTTGAAATCTAGATGTCAAAGAAGAGGCCGTTCTGGATACAGATGCGTCTGCAAAAAGGGATTCTTCTACAACCGCAAGAGAGGAGTATGAAATTCAACCCCTGCCGTAGAAGACCATGCGGAAAAGTTGCCAGATGTGT